AATACAATACAGCCTAATTGCAGAAACGAGTTTGTCATCATACGATTTGTTCATTTAAATATTTTGTTGATAAAGTAAATTTTTAGAAAAACAATTATGTGTTATTAAAAACGGAGGGAGATAAAAATAAAGAATAAAATTAAAAAGAGTAGTAAATCACGAAAACGATTGTTAGAAACGGAGGGAGAGAAATTTAACGAAAATATTAATAAATAAGTAAATAAAAAATTAAATTCACAAGAGAGGCTTTTGAGATTCATAGTAAGAAAATATATGAAATTAGTTAAAACCAAAATTTCTAAATTTACGATTGTTTTGCAAAATTAAACCTTATCGAGTTTAAAAGATGAGTTCATTAGGACTGAAAATAAAACACAATAGAAATTTTATTTTCCATTCATATTAAGATTATAAACGATTAGTTAACTCTTAAACAAACGATAGAATCTAAAAATAAAAACGATTGGTTACGAACAATTAATAACGAATTGTATTCTATGATAAAGAGTTAAGTCTTTGCTATAATAGATTAACTAATGACAGTTAAAAATTATACAAAGTCAAATATCGATTTGAGATAAGTTTTTTTTTTTTAAACAAAAAAAATACGACAGTTTATGAACTGTTAAATTCAAAGTAAGGTTAGTAATTCGAGATTTTAAAAAAAAAAAAATTAAAATTTATACGAAATAGAAGATATTGATGCGACAAAATCTATATTACTTTTTGTACGAACAGTTTTAGCGATGATAAAACATAATAATTTTTCTAGTAAGTCGATAACGATAAATTATTTGTTAACTACGACAGTAAAGAAATGTTAAATTATAAATTAGAAAATGTTAGAAATCAAAAAAATTGATTTTGTTTAAAGGTATAAAGTTAGGTAAACCAAAATGTACGATAGATATGAAAGGGACGACTGAAGGACTGCAAAAATATGACAGTTACACAAGAAGCATACGTTGAGAAGAATTTAATGAAATTTTGTCCAGATAATAAACTTCATAAAATCAGCGAATGTAATATGACAGCTATAAAATAAAGAACGAAGGGAACGTAAATTTGATGACATTTTTAAATCTTATGAAAAATAAAAAGAAACTTGACATTTCTTATAGAGAAACGATTATTAATTTTCTATACATACATAGAACTAAGAGCTTAAAAACAGCTATTGTAATCTTACCGAAAACGAGTGGAATTTGATCAGAAAAATTATCCAATATTTGTATGGAACAAAAATTATTTTTAAAGTTCGTAAGTAGACGAAACGATCTGTAAACTTATTTGGATATAAGTTTTTGCCAATTGTAAATAATCCATTTCGAATAAGTTTTTATAATACGACTGTTTGAAGATATTATCTCCTGATATGTTAATAAACAAACTTATATGGTTTAACGAAATTTGAGACTGAATATTTTTAGCCATGAATCATTATTTTAACATAATTATAACGATTAGTAAATCTTTGTTGAAAAGGTTTATCAAAACCTTCCTTACGGTGACTGTTAAATGTGATAATAATAAAGGTGCAACGATGTGTGCATAAACTAATGGTGAAATAAATTGAGGCATATGACAGGACGGATGTTCATCAAGACTATATGAAATAATTTGTTTAATACAATGTTGAAAATATCGAATGGTTTTCAACTAAAGAATAATTGGCTGATATAATAACGAATAACGAAATTATGAAATAAAGTTTTAATTAAGTGTCAAAAATACCGAATAACGACAGTTCTCTTAGGTAATTAAGATGAACAACTAAAATATAAGATAATTTCTCTCTTAGATGGTTCCAATGAACATTTGAAGCATACGACAGTTCCTCTGAGAAAGTTTAAATAAACGACTGAAATACACGATAGTAAACGATATGTGACGATGGTAATAAATTATATTATACACCTGAATTGCAATATTAATTATTTTAAATAGTTTTCAGTTACTGGATAAATTCAAAACAGGATGACTAGCAGATATGCTGCTTTAAAGATGTCCAAGGATTTCCCAAAAGTAAATTATATCAAATCCGATAATACCAATATATCCAGGATTTTCTGGTTGCGAACGAAAGTACTACGAACAACTGTGTTCAGAAAAATTTGTGAAATCTATAAATTGTTATAAAATCTGTAATTTACAAAATAGTTCATTTTTATTTCAATTGTAAACGAGTCAATCTCGGGAGGGAGTGTTGGAATAATTGTATATTCGCGCTTATATCTCGCTTGACTCTGTCAGTAGTTGCTCTTACGTCACAACCGTATGCGCACGCAGTCCTTCCTACTTCTTGTTCTTGCTTCGACCGTGAACGTCTCGATCGTCAACGACCTCCCAATAAACGACCGTATTTATCCTTATTTCCGTGTTATTTATTGACTACATCCTGCCCTAAAAAAACTGCATGCCGACATGAATCAAAGAAATATTTTTCTATATAGATATGTATCTCTTTCCATAAGGCAAAAGTTTCTTACAATCAGAACAAATATATTTGCAAGAAAGTGTATTCAATCAAGTAGTATGAATATAGTTTCACTATGATTTTATTTAAATCTGCTTTTTCTTATTTTCACTCATATCGTATGGTATATAGGAATTTTTTTATGTATGAATGCATAAAAAAACATCATAAAAAATCAAAATAATACGTAACTTCACAGTATGAATAGGGACGGCATTTACTATCTCTAAAATTGAAACACACTGTTATAATGATCACACGGAGAAAAGTGGATTAAGATTTTAGATGGTATAGTATTATATAAGTGACACAGCGCTGTTTAAGATTACATTATTCAAAATCATTTTATTATCATAATTCTACAAAATACAATATAATATAATATTGTACAAATAGTTGTATACTATAAGAACTTTTATCACAATATGATAACTATACTAAAAGATTTACTAGTTCTTTTAAAACAACATTATCTTACAAATTTAAATATTGTAGAAATTCTAGACAATATTTCATTTAAAGTTTAATTCTTATAAGCTTGGTTTAAAACCGCCATTTACAAACCGCTTATTGGTAAAGCTAACGATTTAATCCAAGCGTGTGGTTTAAATTGGAACTGAAAAGTCAGACTAGAGCAAAAAACTGAGTCACCCTTAACAACTACTATATTGCTCATTTTATTTAAAGTTGAATGTAATTTAAAACAAAGTTGTAATTATAATATTTTTTATAACATTTTTTAAAGAATTTTTAATACATATAATTAATTTAATAGTGTAACTCGAAAAAATTGCTTTATTTGTAGCAAACTCATTTTCGACAATCGTATAATGGTGAACGATTTTTACTTCAATATTGGTTTTTTAAAAGCACTTGCCCTAAATCCGATTCTCATTAGTCAAGTTTTCTACTAAAAATTTTCTATTCACGCTCGATTATCAATATTCTATATATTAGAATTGTTAAAAAATATATACAAGACTTAATATTGGTGTTAAATATTAGTTTTTTAAAAAGTCATTCTTATATATGTATTATTTTTTATTTACTAATTAATAAAGAATAAATTCTTAAAATAATTCTTAACATAATTTTAAAAACATCTACTTATTATTATTATTATCATATTTTATTTATCATTATATATTTAAGAGATAAACCCATTGTTAAATATGACAAATAATATTCAAAGAGCCAAGCGAATATAAAGCACATTATTGTGACAAATATACAGTTCCATGATTTTATACTAAAAACTAGAATCTTGCTTTTTAGTTCACGAACGTTTTTCATACAAAAGATGGCCAGGAAAGTCAAGAACTAAAAAGATCATTCAGAAGCAGTGAGCGTATTTTCATAGAATTTTAAGGAGCTCTTCAACTCATATGTTACCAATATAACAACTTTCTTATTATATAAAATAAGTCAAATACTTTATATTGATTTTCAGGATGAGTGTACTATATGAATACTTAGCAGGGATTTTTAATACACTTTTCGATTCGGTTTTTCTTCAAATTATTACCAAATTATCTCTACAATTGTCTTAATAGTGTAGTAAACTATGCTATTGCTTTACAAAGCATTTCATATTAAATTCATACCATAAAAGATTAAAATTAAAATTAAAAAAAATATTAAAAAGTTTGCAATTTTAATCTTTGATGGATAAAAGCATTGCATCTTACTTTAATTCATTTTGGTATTAAAATAATGCCTAATAATTTAGTGTGAGGAGAAAGTAGGATAGTGACACCCAAGTATCAAAGTGAATAAATTAACCAAAAACAAATTAGCAAATTAAATTTCATTGTACTAACAAATTTTCTTATTTACATAAGTAGTAAGAAACTGTATTTTATTTCGAAAATTCCAATGTTAACAAAACGTAGGTAATAAAATATAAAACCCTTGAAGTTTTCAATTACTTTTTACCCTGTAATTGGAGAACTGAAAAAGGTAAAAAAAACAATTGTTATTAAAAACAGTAGTAAAAATTTAATTAGAAAATTTATCTTATTTTACAGTTTAGGTAATGCATTATTGTAAAATTAAAATCTGACGCAAAGATACTGAAATAAGCTTTCTAACTTTAAAGTTATTTAAAGTAGGTATCTCTATGCAAATAATTTTATTTAACGTATATACGCCGAACAGTCAGTAAAATTCGTTGCATAGACTACAATTCACGAACATCTACATACTTGTCACTGATTCATATATAAAAAATATAGGATATTTATATTCGCAAAAAAATTTATTATTTTTCAGTAATTTTGAAAGCAAACTGTAATATATGCTTCTATAAGCTTTCAGTTAATAATTAGTTTTCTCTTTTTTATTACTAGTAAAGAGAAATAAAAAACTAAAAGAGAACTTAAAAAATGTTCAATTTTTTTTTTTGCAATAAACTTTTTCATTATATTAGATATTGATTTACCTTTGTTGACAGTGATTTAATAGGAAAATAATTAAATGGAGAAAAAAGTAATTGAATATTTATTATATTTTATTTGCATTTTAGCACTCAGACTGTTTGACGTAAAAGGAAACTTTGAAAGTGGAAAAATGCTAGAAGCACGACCCAACAGTCGAGAAGGATTGGTGGAAGCAGCTAGAGGTTCAGGTAATAAAAAAAAAGTTTTAATTAATTAACTATCTATTTTATTATCATTAAAATCACATGAGTGTGTAGTTAAACTTGAGTGGAACGTGGTAAAAATAAATGAATTTCTAATCAGTTTTCAAGTGACACTAGATCTGTTATAAACATATTCATAAATATTAAGGATATTAAAACGAGGTCACAATTAAATTAAAAATTAATATCGAAAACTAAATATAGTTCAAAAATTTCTATTAATTTTTCAAACAGAAAATTTATTTAAAAATTTGAAGCATTTTTCTATTTTAATACAATTGGAGTATATGCCCAATTTATATATATGTATATGCCCTATTTATAAGATGAAATTGACAAGGTCATTATTTATTCAAAGGTGTAAATCACAGCATATTCGATATTGATTCTGATGCTTGAAATGATAATTTGCATATAGAATTACAAGTCTTCATGTATATTGCTCTCTGTGTAATGTTTGTCATTTGATTGCATGGAAATTGCATCAGTGTACTGTAAACGATCGCTGCCAACTCGACTAGTACAAAATTTTCCCAATAATTTAGAAAATAATATGCTTCCAAATATATAAGTGAATATATACACTTTGCTCTAGACACAATTTTTGGATATTTCAAATAATTTAATTCAAATACGTTTATATTTTTTGATTAAAAAGAATTAAATGTGATTGAGTTGATAAAGAAGAAAAAGAGTCATTTAGTTTACTATGAGCAATAAAAGTCAACAAAAAGGATTTTTAAAGAAAAATCTTATTAAAGAAACAAATAAAAAATCCTAGAAAGAATCGTATAATAAAGATAAAACTTGATTTTTCAGATATAGACACAATGTTGTGTGGCTATACAAAAAGTATCTATGTATTGGACCAGTCTGCAATAATGACAGTAAGTAGTACACTCAATGCTAATCTAATTATATCTGCATTAATATTCTACCAGCAATTGGTGATCTCCTTATGGATTTGATAATTATACTTTAATAATTACACTGTAGCACCTATATCAGACTGATAAATTTCATTTTAATCATTCGTGTGTGATGCGTGTTAAATTATTTATTAAATAAAATTTCTATTGTTTACAATTTTTAAATAACATAATTTTAACAATTGAAAAAATTGTACGATTGTAGAGAATGCTTAACTGTGAAAAATAAGACATTGTTTATAAAAATTGAATAAATAAAATTACGATTTTTGTCTGTTCTCAAAAAAAGTCAAAATGTTAAAAAAAGAAATTATTTAACCAAAGATACAATTTTTTCCGAAAAGTACTTAACTGTATTAAAGTTTTTGTTTGCAAAAACCAGTTTTAGTTTTGAGATTACATTAGAGCCTCAAAATTCCTTAAAAGAAATTTAATAATTTTTGTACTTGTTTAAATATTATAGAAAAAAAATTATTGTAACATTAGTTTTAATTTAATGGGTATCAGTGAAATGATAAAAATATAGTAAAAATTAATTATCTTTTTTAATGAATTAATTATTAAATTTGAATGAATTCAACTTGAACAGAAATAAGTGAAAAAAGTTTAAACTTTTATTGTAGAATGAATAAGGTAATACTTTTTAATAAATGCATTTGATACATTCGTAAAATTTTAGTGGTCTTATTATAGATTATCGATAAGATATTAAAATAGTCGGGTACTAAAGATAAGAAAAATCGATATATACTGTACGGTATAGAAGAGCGTTGATCCCTTGAGACATATTATATATTGTATACATATATATAGCTCGAAGCTTCTTGAATTTTCTGGAAGGTCTAAAGTTTTCAGAGACATACAAACGTCCTGACGGATATAATACAGTAAACGAAACTCAACTTTCTCAAGACTGAAAGCATCATTCTCTGGAAGATATTAATAAGATCAATTATTTTTAACTCCTTTAATTTACTTTGCACTTTCCGTTTTCTTTCCTCCTCAACTATATCTATGTATATTTTAGTTCAGAAGTACGTAACGGTAAATTCTTTTTATTTTTCTTTTTTTTCTCAATTTTTAGACATTTTTATTCTTGTGAACCTAGAAAAATGTAATCTCCGTTTCAGCGGATTACTCTCATTTTGTTGCAACTTTTCCTTTTGCATATAATACCAAAAAATTCCTTTTTATTTGAGAGGAAAATATCACTATAATAACATCTGTAATAAAAGATAAGCTCTGCCACTTTTCTACTATTTTTTTATGACAGAAAAAGAGAGATATATTTTTCAATTTTTTTATGTAATAAATAATTAAATATTTATTTATATTCTGATAAGAACTTGAGAAATTAATTACTGTTATGTGTATAACAATATAAAATTTATATTTAGACTAAAATTCCTCTTTCAAGAGTGTTTATATATACATATAAAATAAAAATAAAAAAGTGTCTTTCAATTTGGATTTAGTCTTAAATACACATTATTGCAATTTGAAAGAATGGCATTTATACTCGAAATTCAGAGCTCTTTTCTCTACATAATAGTACTTCTCTTTGACATGGAATTTTTCACAAACACTTTAATCTCAGTAAAAGCTTTTGCTTATGATAACTGTGTTGGATGCTGACTTCTACTTTTCCAGATTTTTCAGTCTTCCAACGTCTCACATCAAAGTAATGACTTTTAAAAAATTCAAGCTCACAAATTCAAGTTATATTTATTGTAGAAAACGAACATTTTTCTTTTTTCATTTTCTTTAAAAAAAAGTACTGTATATATTCACCCTTGAGTGATTTGGTTAAAAGAATAATATCTTTCTCGCTATAACACAAGTCTCCTTCAAGTGGAAGAGAAAAGGTTTTAACTACAGTCGTGGAAAATGGTTAACTAATTAAACGTGGTATTTTATGAGAGAGCTTAGAAAGTCACGACTATATAAATCCCTTTCTTGGAATTCTTAGAGTGGAGGTACAAAAAGAGAATTTCGAATATTTTACTTTGAGTTTTAAAAGTGCTAGACTAAAAAAAATTTCTTGAGAGGAAGAAAATTATACTTTTCTTATTTAGGTAATTTTCACCTACTACAAGTTCATTTAAGAATTACTTTTATATATATTATATATAAATTGTCTAAATTAGTTTTACTTTATTTTTAACTTTCTTTACAATCAAGCGAGTTTTAATGGGAAAAATTTAATTAACAAATTTTTATAATTATCCATTAAATTGTTGGAGAAATAAAAAATGAATAAATTTTCTCTGTTTATAGAACATGGACATGTTGCAACTGTTCGCTTCGCCAGCTGGAAGAGCTCTTGTTACGAAGGATAATCGAAAAGGAGGTTCAACGTCGACATCGTCATTATCTCGAGATTGTTCATCAAGAATGAAGAGCGATAGAGTTGCACCAACCTCCGGGTCTGTAAGTGCGCCTATATCTCCTCGTCGGCAACGCAAATCTAGTACAGAACTCTACAAAGAAGCTGCAGAGATTCTTGGATTAACTTGCAGCCTCAGTGACAGTTGTCGATGCATCGATTGTCAAGTAAACATTATGAATACATTAACAACACCGTCATATTCATTTATAAGTCAATTTTCACATTCGTGAATATTCATTTTACAAAAAAATATTACAAAATGTTTTCAAGTGCCCTACTTACAGTCAGGACCGACAATTTTCCTCCGCGTGACCGAATTTACACTTGGGTAAAAGCTTTGTTTGAAACAAATAAACCGTTTTTTTCTCAATAATTAAATTTTTTTGTTATCTCAAAGAAAATTTCATTCAAATGCATATTTATTTTTTTTAAATAAACGTTTGGTATATTTTAATGAGTCTTTCGACTGAAGAAAGAATTTTATTGAACCAAATAATTGGATGAATAATTTTGCAATTAATAAATTTTAATAAATAGTACAAAAATACATAATTAAACGAAAAAATGTTTGAAGAACTTTTTGATAGAAAAATTATCCTCTGACCTACGGTTACCCAAACTCGACAAAAATTTTTGAGATAAACTCTCGGGCATAGCACGAGAGTTATCCCCAGATAGTGCTCTACAAAAAATGTATGTGACACTTTTTGATAAAACCAACAGCATCCGATCTACAATGGACCAAAGTAGACAAAAATTTTCGAAATTCTTATATAAAATTATTAATTTATATAAATTAAATATAAATTATTTACAAAAAAATCATGTTTTTAGAGTACAAATTATTATAGTTCCAAAAATTTGAATTTTATTAAATTTAAAGGGAGGCACCATACCCAATTTTGACCCACTTAAATTTAAATTTTTAAACGAGGTTACATTTTTTTCATGCATCATTTCGGTCCTAAAAACATACAAGATGGTAAAAAAAATAAAATTTTAAGCATTTTAGAAATTAAAGTTTTAAAAAAATTAATATTTTAAATATCTATCTTCTTTCATAATTAATTTTGAATATTTTTCTACGCTTTTTTAATGATTTTTAAGAATCTCTCGCATGGATTTTCAAAAATATTAATTTTTTCAAAAAATAAAAATTCTAAAATGATAAAAATTAAAATTTTCTTTTTTTGACCACCTTATGTGTTTTTAGGACCCAAATGATGCAGGAAAAAAACATAACCTCGTTTAATAATTTAAATTTAAGTGGGTGAAGCCTCTTCTTAATAAAGTAATTTTAAAAGCTATGTTTATTCAATTTATTTAAAGCTAGGAAAACTAACGAGGCCCTGTCCAAATCCCTATTTTAAATAGGACGAAGTGGGTCAATTTTTGAACGAAACATTTCAATTGTTAGTACGCCGTACCATATAAATTTCTGAAATAAATCCAGGATTTGCCAATATCAAACGCTAGAATTCTAAAATTTGATATGAGAGAATCGAATTAGTGATACAGAAAGTCTCTCCGTGTAGTATAAAATTGAAACGTAGTTATTGCAGATTCGAAAATCCTCACAGAGGGAAACGTGATTACTAATAGGATACGCGTGCAAATCAGCTTAAAAAGTCTTTGAAAAATTTATTTTCATTGTTATTAAATTTACATTAAAAATCATTTCTTTAAAATATTATATAAAAAAATGTTTAATCTTTATATGTAGATGTATTGCAATAATTTGAAAACAATGAAAATTAACATTCTTCTATTTCTTTGCAGAGCAATTACTTCGACTGTGATGATGAATGCGGTGATTCAAAAACAGAACTAGCAGCGGGGACACCAGTTTTATTGGACCATGCTTTATCACACCCATTGACATGCACTATTCAGTGATTCTGAATTCTTAACATGTGTGTCGTGACATAAGGCCCAATTGAAAGAAAGTCTTTATACTCAAGCAAAATTTTTTATTCGTCTATTTAAAAACAATATGATTATTTAACAATAAGCATCAAAGTATAAATTGTAAAATTAAATGCCATAAGAATTTTAATTTATTAGATAAAAATTACGCAATTTTATTTCAACTTCATTGAAGAAAAATTCTTCTAATACACAACTATTATAATCATACATGCAGAAAAAAAATTTTGACTCGACAAAAACTGTTTAAAAAAAACCTATACCTTAATGGTCACTGGAAATCAGCAGGCGAGAATACAGCACTATTTTTGAAATTTTTTTCTACAAGAGGGCTTAACCATTTATTGAAATCTACAAATTATTTATTGAATTAAAAATTAACTCTTGAACTAAATCTAGAAATTTTGTTCATGTATTATGTATCGAATGATGTTATTGTTCATGATGTGTAAAATTCTAAAAAACGAATTTTGCAGTGCATCACTTAAAGGAAACAAAGAATATTTAAAAATTATATTGTATTTTTATCGATATATTTAAAAAAGTTAATGAATTTACTGTTTCATTTTCACTATATTGAAATCGGCTGTTTTGTTTTAAAGATGTTCCGCAATGGAAACTTTTAAAAATATCCGTGCCAATTCGTTTACTTAATCAGGCCCAAAAAATTGAAAAATGATTATTTCTTCTTTTATTTGTGTCTTCGTTGAAAAATTATTATAATATACGGCGTCAAGAAGTAAAATTATAAAATGTTTTATAGTCGTCAGGTGCTGCCGTCTATGGTCACATTTTTATAGGGTTTCAGTGCGGAATATCGTTAAAAAACAAAATAACCAATTTTTTACACTTTGATGTTTTTAGAACTCGTTCTCGTCTTGAAGCACTCTCGACTGCTACTCGTGCTAAAAACATTAACGTAAATAATGGCTGCCTTTAGCCCCTTGATGCTTAATATACTATTTTTAAATGCTGTTCGTCAGTTTTTGGAGACTATCGAATACCGGACTGTAAATAGGACAAATTAATTTATTAATAATGTAACTTAATATCAATAAGGAATTACATCAATGGCACACGGCGAGAAGGACATAGTACTATTTACTATAATTTTGTTAAATTTACTAAACACATACTGTATGATACTAAACCAATAGTTGGCGCTACTTGTTGAGAAATTAGAATTAGCAATAATGACGCTCCTTGTGGTTAATTGTATTAATATTTTTAAAAATTGGCTAATTCTAGTTTTTCAAATACTCTGCCTAGAATTTTGAAATGTCTCTTCTATATTTCTTCGTGGGTGTACTTAACGTATGTTGTCGGATTCACTATATCCTTTCTCTCCGTGCATTCATAATTTATCTATATCACAATAATTATTCCTGATGAAAATTTTGGATTGATATTTAATGAGTTTTGATAAGTATTATTCCTAGGCATTTCGAAATTTGATTCCGATTTAGTTTTTATCTACATCTAAATTTATATGTAACCTAACAAAACATTCTTTTCAAATTATTACATATCAATCTGTTTCATTCTGAAGCTGAATTTTTATCCTTATGAATTCTATAAAATTCTAATCCGAATCAATTAGATTGGCTTAAAAAAAAGTTGATACGGATTAATTCGAAATGGAATTTCAAAGGATTTAAAAGAATTAAAATTTCGTTTCATAATGAAAAATAATTTGATAAGAATTTTTTTTGTTGAAATACATATGAATTTAGATTTGGATAAAAACTAATTAATTTAGAAATGCCTTAGAATAATACACCGAAAAAAAAAATTCTAAAAATAATTATTATTATTCCTCTCTAATGAACCAATGTTTTGAGAGAAAAATGATTTTTTAATTTATCTTTTGTTTTTTACACGAACCTTTAACCTATTTATAAAGTAACGTTTGAAAAAGTAGAGATAGAGGAAAATCCTCTCAATTAGATAGGAATAATTTAGTGCCAATATATACAAAAGGAAAGGTTGCTGTAAAAAAACGGGAATCCTTTTTAAAAAAAATTTTTTTTTCGGTATTCACTTATCACAACTGATTGAACATCAGTCCGAAACTTTCATCAAGAATATCGACAATGACGACTTAAATCTGGCTTCTAAATCTATATAACTTTCTATAAGAAACGTAAAGTAAAGAGGCTAAATTGGATCGCTTTCCTAAAAAAATTTTCTAAAGAGAGAATTTATTCATAATGTGACAGAGAGGAAAATATGTTACTAATTATTAATTATAGTTTATATATATATATGTTCAAATGCCTTCATATGAGAAATATATTTAGTATAAATGAAATTTATGTGCTATAAAATCAGTACAATATACAGACTGTCAAATTGAAGGAACCCTCAATTAGTAAAACAGCTTAAATTTTAATTTTCCAAATTTAATTTTGCTGTCTTTTCATAAGTTGCGTTCACATCGTGTACACGATATGAATGCAATCATTTATTTTTATTTGCGTAAATGACGAAAAATAGCTTACGGAACATATAAAACGCTTAAAAAATCAGTCTGCAATGTAGGCAAATTATAAAAAAAAAATTTTGTATACTGTCTAAAATATAGTTACTGACAGTAGCTGTTGATAAATAATAATAGTCAGTCGATTTCGTAAACAAACTGCATAAAAAAATTTTTACTGTTAGAACCGTTCTCAATTTTAATGAATAAGCGAAAAATATATTTGCTTTTAGATTTTCTGAATATACGTTTGACTGTCATGTTATACGAAAATACTATTATTTTCAAATAATTTATTTATATATAATAACTTAAATTAAATAAAGACTTTTTAAGTTTAGTAGCTTCTAAGAAAATGTTTAAGAATACATAATATTTGAATATTATAAACAATAAATGGTTCTTAACTGCCCAAGACCCGTTAAATGGCAATAACTTACACTATAAGTAAATTTCTATCAAAACTAAAATTATATAGTGAAAAATTAATATATCGCCTAAAAACTTTTAAGATTTATGTAAACTTGTACTTTACAAAAAAAATATATAAGGCAATGTACTACGCTTCAAAATCACTTCCATTATTACAATTTGTTAAAGTTTGCTATTGATACTGTTGAATGTGATAAAAAAAATACCGAAAGTATACTGTGTAGACAAAAATTATTTGTATTTAGAAAAAAAATATTTAAAATAGTTTATTTAACGAATAAAAATCTTTTTGTTTCGTTTTTAATCAAGTAGTGTTTAAATTTTTTATTCGGAAAATAAATTTTGCAGAAAGTTTGCTAATATTTGGAATGTGATAAATAGAGCGAGAAAATTCTATTAAACGAATTTACACATTCTGTGACTGATGCTAAAGTATTATTTACGAAGAATCTACGTAAAATTGTAGATAATAGATTATATATATAGCAATAATAAGCAAAAATGAATATGACCACCTGATTTTCGTCACTGTACTTACATATATATATATCTATACATAAATGGTAATTACGTACTGTCATGTTTCTGGTTTTCACTTACAATTTGATTACTGTTTTTGTATTTTAAAAAATTAGTTCATAGTATTTTTAGTTTTCAAATGTCGTAAATTTAAAAGTTTTATTTTTCACTTCCAACAAAATGGTAAAAAATTTAAATTATTCTCAATTTCTTTATAAATGACAGTTTATATCACAAGTTTGAAAATTATTAACGCAACAACGGTTTAAAACACAAAGTAGGATACAATAATAGAACATGTATGATATTCCAGTTGTCTTTTTTAATTTAATATAAAAACTATTTGTACATTATATACATATGCTAGTGTAAATTGATGAAATAAAAAATGAGCTTTTAAAAATTCCTCAGAGTAAAAAAAAAGTATAATTTTTTGCAACAATCACATTTAGCTTCTAATAAAAAGAATTAAGTTATAGGAATATAGAAAAATAAAAAAAAATTTAATTATACCCAATTATTGTAACATTTATATGGTGGTTAAAATTAATATTCTATAAATTTGGAAACATTTCTCTTGTTTTTCTTATTTTTTATATTTCTGGTAAACAAAATTACTTAGTTATATTCATTAACAAAAAATTTAATAAATTTTCCAAAACTGTTTTTTAGAAACCTGTATATGTAAAATAATAATAAAAAAAAAATGATTTCAAATTTTTTCATCTGCGAAAGTGGATAAATTTTTATAATTTTATATTCTGATAAGAACGCAATTATTTTTTAACAACCACCGATGAAGCCATTTATTGCAAACAAATTTGATAGATATTTAATACAATTTTAATTTTTCGTATCATGAAACCTATAAGCTATTCATGCGATTGGCGCAATCTTAATACTTATTTTTTTACTAAGTCCACTATATCACAAAATATCGCTACAATGTTTCTTTAACATTGCTGATATATCTTGTGCTGTGGTGGTCCATTAATATATGTTTTCGAAAAAACAGATTAGTAACTACGTTTCATTGTCTTGTTTTGTTCATTATATTGCCAAAATGCCTTGTAAAATTCGAAACAAAAATACTTTAAGTGCCAAACAATATTTTATGTATATGTATTTTACTATATATTATGTATACTAGTAAGATTTAGTAACAGTTAAATATATTTCAGATTTAATTTTCTTTGACAATATTCTCAATTTTCATGTTACTTCCATAATTATTATAATTTTAAAATCTTCAATGAAATTACATAGACATTGTTTTCTCCTGTCTCTACAATGTAGATATAGATGCCCTTTTTCATATTGTTCATTATATTAAAATAAATAAAAAAAAACATGTAAAAATTCTTAAAGTAATAAAGTAGTAAATGTACCTATACATTAATATATTAAACTTCGTAAAGCTGAAATTAATGAAGCAGAAGAAAATTGAAAAATACATTTATGCCGTATACAGCTATAAGATAACGTATGATTTATGAAATGTGATCGCCATTATTCTTTACTATATCAGAAATAAAAATGTTTTACTTTTCTTCTTCAAGCGCGCGTTATTTATGTGAAATATACCATTTTAAATGGTATAATTCCTTAAATAATTAGATATATTAAATTCACACTATGTACATTATCTACATGTATGTATATATAGACAAAATTTAATTAAAAATACGAAAATTGCATTGATATTTCCTTGTGAATTTGTCTTCTTAAAAATACAAACACACACTAAAAAAAAGATGAGATATAAATTACGCATATATGTATATGTACAACTTTATAAGACTTATTGCAATAAAAATAATTTTTTGTTTTAAAAAATATTCAATTATTTTCCACAAATGCCTAAATTCTTTTCAATGAGAGGATTTTTCTTGCCGAGGCCTGGCTTTAAGCTGAGTCTACATTGGCTACAAAAAAACGTGAAAGTGCTGAGGTGACAGTTGTCATGGCAACACGTGTGTAAAACAATGATAAAAAACTATACGTAAATCTGGCCACGAGTACCAGTTCACTTTTAATGTAGAGCCCGCTTAAGTATGCCTTGTTCGAGGCCTGAAGTTAGCCCCTACGGGGCTACCAACGCAACTGCAAACCATGATTTCATCGTCTGCTTTTCTTGTGTGTAGTTTTATTGATTAATATTAATTTCATTGATTTATACTTATATTATAAAAAAGTAAGAAAAATATTTTTGGAAAAAATCATACATATAAACTGAATTATCGCACATAAAATATGAGGTTATAATTTTTAAGCAATTATTAAATATATAGTTAAAACGTGTCAAGATTGTAAAAATCATAAACATGTTTTCAGGTTATGTTAATTGAGTGGTGAGTGTAAAAATTATTTTTTTTAGTATTACAAAAGAAAATAAAAAAATATGTTAATTTTCCATGTTTTTAAAAACATTATTTAATGATAATACACGGTGGTGCTTAACACATTTTAACCCAAAGGTGCTCTCACTAAAATTTCTTCCATGTCTTAAATCTGGATATCACGGCAAAAAATTATATAATTTAATATTAATTATTTAAAGACTTTTTTGTGAAAATTTGAGCAAAAATATTTTAAAAATGACGCAAAGACATATTTCCGACACCTAAATTCAAAACACCAAAATATTTTTCTTAGTAGATAAATTTCTCGAGGTAATAATGTCAAGTTTTTTTGTATTTTTATCAATATTTGAATTTTTAGAAACACTTGGAAGTGAAGAAATTGATGTTTGCTTAAAAAAGTCGGCAAATTTGACATAATAATAATATAAATTAATAAAAATTATTAAAAAAAAAAAAACTTGACGTTGTTCACCGACTTGAAAAATGAAAAATGTGAGAAAAAAGCTTTAAAGTTTGTATACTAGAAAATCAGCAAATGTTTTGTCTGAGCACCAGACACTGAAAATTCCATATCACCGTTAGTTTTTCTCCGCTCGGCTTCAAATTTTCACACAACCTTAAGATATGGTTTTTTCAGATAATTTTTTTTTTTTAAATGACAAAAGAAATTAAAATATTTTATTACCCCTTAAACACAAAGAACTTAAAGTGGAAGAACATTAAATTCCACTTTTTTTTGTTTTCATTAAATTTTCGCAAAAAAATATCAAGTCAACTTAAGTGATATTTATTCTTTGTAAAGTTATCATTTATACTAATTTTTACAGTGATATTATTCAATGTTTCTCATGAAAAAAACGAAAAATTCATTTTTGCAACACTAACCTCTAAAGTTAAATTTTACACACCGAAAATTGTGTGTAAAGAAGCTCTTTTTCAAACGGTGTGTAAAGTGATTCACTTTACGCACTGAAATTTACTTTAAGCACCGAAATTTCTCTCACATAATATAAGGATTGTTTTAGACCATACAAAACCACAAAATTAAAAAACGAACTTTACTATTAAATTTATACACTCCTGCTTAATGATATTTTTCCTGATCTTCGATTGATTTTTTTAATTCTATACAATCGAAATTATTCTAATAGAGAGTTGGAATTCCTCATAATAGGTACTTAACTTTAGAGGTGGGTATTGCAAAAAATGTTGTATGATACACGTGCGTAAATCTGATTATACTCGTGTGATCACTCACTTTACGCACTTGTATCATAAATAACTATTTTTTAATCTAAAAAGTCAATTTTCTCTAAAACGGCTCGTTGAAATATTTTGAATTTTTTTTCAAAATACTTAAAACGATTTCCAGCTTCAAGATATAGAAGAAATTTTACAGTGAAAGCAACTAAAATTACAGCAATTTTAACAAGATTGTCTCAATATTTCCAATATTGCTGCAAGTTTAGATGCTGTGTAGGAAACGAAACGATGAAATCATGGTTTCGAGTTACGTTGGTAGTCCTGACTTCAGGCCCCAAACAAGGCATTTTTAAAACCAAGCCTGGGCAAATAAATCGCCTAACTTCGTAAATCCCCTCAATCAAGTAAAGGCGCTCTCACACCTTTTTGGCTGCCTGCAGGTTACCATGGCAACGCATGAGAGTGAGTGCGACAGAAAATTTAAAAATTTGAATATTCAAATTTTCTGTCTCACTCACACTCGTGCGTTGCCATGGTAACCTGCAGGCAGGCAGGCAGCCAAAAAAGGTGTGAGTGCGCCATTAGTATTCATAAATTTAAAGTAGTATAAAAGAAATATTCAGTTATATATTAGAAAATTCTAAAGTTTCTTAAATTTTAAGTTTAAAAAAACCGGTTTTATACATCACTTTTTGCATTATTAGGAAAAATTTCTTTATTAAGGAAATAAAATATTTAACTTTGTCGAGGCTTTTATTGATTCACTGTAGTGATTTCTAAGTGACTGATTTTGACTTCTGATGAGTGACTTTTAGAGAATCGTCGCTCCTGAAAAAATAAGCCATGATTGATTCAAATGATTGGTTTCTTAGGTCGGTGAAGTTCACATCGCTTAATCAGCACGAAAACTTGCAGCAAACATGCAAGAAGCTTGCCGTGCAAGATGTGCAAGATTGCAGTGCAAACATGTAGCAAGTTTGGTGCAAGCAACAAAATGTCCTCATGTGGCAAGCTTGCCGGACAACAGTGGCGACAGCTTGCTGCAAGTTTGCAAAACTTAATACGATGCGCAGTTGTAAACGGAAGTTCCTACGGCTGCGCAAAAAATTTTTTAACCTTCAAAGCAGGGTGCACTTTATGTTCATTTAGTAACAAATTGTTTCAAAAAATTTTTTTTTTCTGTATTATACAAGCTTTTTGCAAGTTCGCTGCAAGCATTCTTAACTACCTTGCCACAAGAGGACATTTTGTTGCTTGCACCAAACTTGATACATGTTTGCTCTGCAATCTTGCACGACAAACTTTCTGCAAGTTTGCTGCAAGTTTTAGTGCTGATAGGGTGATTACCATCATCGAAAATTTAAAAACAGACAGTTTTATTGCAAATTCTAGCACAAAGTGCAAGTAAAATTGTAGAATAAAATTTACACAAGTATACAAGTAGGGGAAGACCCCTATTAGCACCCTTAAGACAATCCCTATCATAAAAAAATTCCCAAAAAATTCAATTAACTTTCAATTAACATTTTTATGTCTGTGACTTTTGAACGAATGCGCCGTTTTTAATTATTATTTGCTTAAAAAATAATTTTTAATTTTTCTAAATAACAAACCATATTTATAAAACTGTGTATTTCTTTAAAAAGATCAGCTTTAAAAATAACAACATTTAGTTTTGGAAGAAAGTTTTTATAATGTGCAAAATGTATATAAGTAGATAATTTTTATAAGTTAAATTTTTTTTTGGAAATTGGTATCTTTTCTTTTAAGGATTATTAAAAATTAAAATATTTTAACTTTCGAATGTCATACTGAGAAAAAGGAATGGTTGGGGCAACAAAAATCGTTTTTTTCTAATTTTGGTTGTGTCAAACAAATTTTGGTTGAGACAATTAAAATTTTGTTGATTCAACAAAAAAATTTTGGTTGCTTAAATACCAACCAAACGTTTGGTTGTCAATACCAAAACCTTTTTTCAGTGTAAATTTAAGTTTATATAGATGAAATAATTGTATTCCTTGCATTGCATGAAATCGAATCGAGTGGTATATATACAGTTTACATTTGAAGTAAATTTAATAAATTAATGAAAGTTAAAAAATAGAAAATTCACATTCTAGCTGAAAAATTTTGTATATATTTAAATTCAAGTTTAAATATAAAATAATTGTGTTCCTTGCATTGAAACGAATCGATATAATTGTAAATAATTACAAATTATATATTATTTTTCATTAATATTTAGAAATTTCGGTTAAAATATGAATTTTTGATTTTTTAACTTCCATTAATTCTTTAAATTTAACTTAAATGTTTATATTATTATATTATTTTTGTATTTTTATTTCAATGTTAATGCTTTCTCCACGAGGAAGCAAATTTTTTTGATGATCGTAAAAAGGAAGCAAAATGTTCATGTAATGAACGTCTGAATTTACAACTTGTAGTCTTCAACGAAACAAAATATTTTCCATGCCCCAGGGCTAATTGCCGTTGTGCTATATACGTGTCACAGTAGTTAAAATCCATACTAACCAAGAATTATTACCTATATTGAAACATTTAACTTTACAACGCAAGTTTCAAGCATTGTATCAAAAAAATATACTTTGTAGCTAAAATTTTATTGTTTTAAATATTTTTAATAAAAAATGTTAGAAATTATTTTAACAAATGTTTTTCATGAAGGTAAAGTATTCTATCGGTAAAGTAGATTTAATAACAAGTTCCGCTTTTAAAACATAGAAGACAGCAGCTCCAGGTATATCTAAATAAAATATATAATTTATTTTTTTTCACAATTAATTCATAATCTTAAAATTGATGAAAATTTGCGAAAAAAAATTTCAAATTGGTAAGAATGTCTAATATAATATAACGTGCCCTCTTTACTTTTCTGCATTACCAAGTGAGTATGGCTTATTGTTAGTGCTGTCCCCTGTTTATAATATACTAAAGAACTTGGTATGCAGCTGCTTTATCGGTAATATAAATACCTTCTTGAAAAGCATTTATTTGAAACAGATTTGAAATAATGTCTCGAATAATATTTTTTATAATCATCTCCACAAAGGTTAATATTTACTTAATGTGTAGGTTATAATAATTATATTATGATTAATGCAAATGTACAATAATTTATTTCAGTTTCTAAATAATGATTTGAATAATTAAACAATCCCTGTTGGATTAGCTCAATCGATCAGGTTCATTCGATCAGGTTTCGCTCAAGTTTGATTTGAAGCAAAATTTTGCAACTAATTAGTGCAGTATGATGAAAAAATGATAAATATTGCTAAATTAGTCACTATTTAGTTGATTTGTAAAAGAATTGTGTATATATACTTTAATCAATATTCGAGAAAGATATTGTACACTGAAAAAAAATTCTAGTTAGAATAACCAGAATTCTGGTTAGGGTATATTTAACATTTTGATTCTGGTTAGGTTAACCAGAATTCTGGTTATTTTAACGAGAATTCTAGTTAATTCAACTAGAATTCTGCTTAACATAACTAGAAAGTAATGTTAAATATAGCCTAACCAGAATTTTTTTTTCATTGTACTTTTCTAAAACAGAACTATTTTTGGAGTAAATTTTACTATTTCTGGAGTAAAAATTGAAAGAAATGTGCAGAAACTACGGTCAGTTCTGGTTTTACTTTTAAAGTAGTAAAAGTTACTTTATTCATTTTTCCATTTTTCTCCGTGTAATTATATTTTTAAAGATGATTCTTCTCAGTGTAGGTATGTATAAAAATACATTTTTCAATTCAATTTTTATTTTAACACAATGATGCTACTTACTAATAAAAGTAAAACCAAAATTTTATAAATTTTTTCTAACGACAAAAAAACGTTTGTTTGATTTTTAAAAGAAATTCTATATTTGATGAGTGTTAAAATGGTAATTTTTTTTCCAAATTACACAAGTTAAAATAAAATACAGAGATAGTAGAAAATTGTTATAAACTTAAAACGATCATGACAATTAAAAAACATTTTTGAAATTGTATTAAGTATAATACTTCTTGTCCTTTTCTCATGGAAGGGGTTTTTCCACTGAAGCGATGCAAATTCAATTCGAACTCCGCAAAGGGTATATAGCGAGACGACACTTTTCTGAGTGCGGTGCCCATGGGAGCATCGCTTATATCGTTTGAATACCAACTCCCATCTGATAAGATTATCGGCGATCTTCGCTCCTTAGATACTTTTCTGGCCTACCCTCCACCCTTGAATCCGCCATCTTAGCCAGTCGTCACTCTTCATCCTCCTATTTTCGTCCTCTCTTCTTTGCAGGTGATGTCGAACGTTTCGCATAAAGTATTCCCAGAGTGAAAACTGAATTACGGCGGTACGTGGTCGTATTGAAAATGTATAAAAAAAAGTATTATTTAAATCGAAAAAAATAGTCCAAGTTAAATAAAGTATTAATATAGATAATTAAACAATTCAGCTATCATCGATACAAAATTTCTTCCATATATTTATTATTAAATAATAAAATTAATACACATTTAACTAAGCTTGACATTTAAATTCATTATCGTCAGGCATCACATCTTTTAAAAGGCTAATAAACTTTTCAAATGGACACATCTCTTCACATCCTGGGATTTTCATTATTTTCATCTCTGATGGGACTCCCAAATAATATAAAACCTACGTAAAACAAAATTAATATTATCGAATAATTAATTGGTATTTGTTATTATAAATGAACACGCACCTGTACAAAATAAGCTTCGTTGTTTTTGTAAAGTTCCAGTATAACGGAACTAGTATATTTAGGAATATGCGGTTCAGCTATGCCAAGAGTAAGAATCTGCCCTCCCAAATTTAAATCATGAGCGCTGTACATTATTATTTTTCGACCTTTTTCTAATGTCCCATTTTTCGCAGCAATCATGTCATCTATCATTTTTCTCACCAATACCCCTAAAATTGATAAATATAAAAAAAAGCCAAAAAATTGAACATGAATTTCATACATCATCTTAAACTTACCACCATTTAATTTTTTAAGCATTTTATTGTAATTCCTTAATTCAACCTGAAAATTTCCAACTGCTGACAATTGTCCATTATTTAAGTATTCTTTACCCCATTCTGGAATTGTTAGATTCATAGAATTTTCACAGTCAAGTGTGCTGTATAAAATAAGTACGTCTCTCATACTTTTTATTTCTTTTCCTGTAAGTTTTGTCAATCTATCCATTAACGGTTGAAATTTTTCAATTCTTTTTAAAATCTCCGAGGATTTTAAAACTTTCTCATACTCCTGTTTATACCTGTAAAAATTTTTTTTTTTAATATTCATTAAGTTTTCCTTAATAAGAACGAAGTATACGTACTTAGGACAATTCGTTGGCCAGAGTAACCAATCTCTTGCCTTCTTTTCATAAATAAATGGAATTGGTTGCCAATTAAGATCAGGATTCCATTTCTGAACACTTTCTGGTGGATACAATGAAGCAAGAACTAACTGTAGAGTCATTATTGTTCTTTGTGAATCTGTACTTTGGGCTTTTATGTTTTCTGATAAATATATTGGACCGAGAAAATCGGAATATTTTTCACGAAGAACTTTTCCTAATTGGTAGGATCTTCGTTTGCCTTCCTAATATTAATACATAATTGCTTAAAAACATACATTTTTCTTATCAATTAAACATATTTCTTATTGAATAAAAAATAAGATATTTTTAATATAGTGTAACTAACGTTCGTCATTCCACCAGATCCCATTGGAAAAAATGATGCATTCACATTCGGATCGTTTGGATAAGTTTCACCAATTTCTCTATCAGGTGCTCGATCTCCATGTCTAAATACCTGTTATTATCTTTTTTTTATTAATAATTATTAAATTTTTTTAACTATATTGGACATAGTTTCCCAAAATAAATAATAATAAAATATTATAGGTAGGAACAAAGATTTTTAAATAAAAGAAGGTTTGTTTTATCTTAAAAAGTTTGAAAATTACATGATTGACGTGTACAGTATTATATTCACACAACTTACCACATTGACTAGTACAAGTTTTTGTTCACTGTCACATGTGAGAAATAGATAAGAAAATAGTAAAAGATTTTGAAACAGACATGCAACGAAAATTGTTGTACAACTTAAAGATCTGTAAGTCTTCATTTTAACACTTGAATTATCTTTTCTATTTAGTGATTAAACGGAATGAAAATAATCAAAGTATTACAAAGTAGCAATCTTTGTCTTTTACTTGAATATTACAAATTCTATCCAAAGGTTAGGTGACGACTGAGATAGGAAACAACTCTTAGCGTTTAACTTTCTACTACTATATCAAACAGTGTGAGTCATCAAGCAATAGAAATGAGTTAAATTTATACGAAACACTGATTAATATGCAACATCAACATATACATTATGAAAAATATATATATAAATAAAAATTATGAATTTATCGCACATGTCTACCTTTAAATAATATATAAGATACGAAGATAACGATAACTTTAAATAAAAAATAAATATAATTGTGATATCCATTAGATAAAAAATTTCGGACTGTGATGTATAAAATACTGTAAGAAATACTTTTCAAGCAGCAGCTATAAATTTAGAGTTGACTATTTTTTTTATTCATCACTGGAATAGAGGTTATGTTTAGCCTCTTGTTTAGTTACAACAATTGCAGCAACAAACCCACAAAAAAAGATAGATGCAATGTTGTTGACAATGTTTGACAGGAAAAATTTGGACTCATTTTTGTTGTAATTTAAAATGAGCCAATGCTAAACGACATAAATCGTAGCGCCACCTATACATGTCTCATTTTAGTTGCTCAGGTTTTTTCTGCGTACTGAGTTATTAATTTTTGCTAATTAGCATCCGCAATACCTTTGCATATTGATTCCCCAATCAAAATATTTCTATTTTCTTAAAAAATAAATTCATCTTTGTTGTCTATTTGTTTACTATATGAAGGTTAGATTGATTTTATTTTTCGTTAAACAGAAATTAGTATTTTAATTTTTGAAGAACGTAGAAAGGAATAGAGTAAATTAAAAATAATTTCTCATTAAAATTAAGTAATAGGAAAAATGACTAATTTAATACCGTTTTAAATAAATATTTATATATAATGATTACAATTGGATCTAATAAATATCTCGTTCTGCTTATTCAGGCTTAGAATAAATCGATCAGTGTAGCTTTCAGAGACATTGCAGACGAGAGAAAAGGCATCGAATCTAATAATCAATTATGCAGTTAGAGATATATGGAGGTCGTCTTCAAGTCCGCAGTCCTTTGGGGTCGATTTTGCGAAAGAGCACGACATGAACTGACGAATAATCACTTTCGGATGAACCCTAACCGATCGTTTGTCGATTCACTCAATCATTTATTCAACAACGTAATGAATCGAACTTCTTAACGTCAACGCCTACCTCTATTTATAATTATTTCTTAAGATCCAATTAGATTCTAATTATTGTGGCCACTGGTCAGGGAAAATTTTTTTCCATATGTACTGCATCAAGGAAATTTTTTAACTGATTTTAGTAGACACCCTATCAATTTCAAAAATAAGCGTAATATTCCGTAAAAGTATCTATTCTTAGCCACAAAAGGTTTGAACGTTAATTAGTGGGCTCTAACGACACCGATAACAAAGCGATTCAAAAGTAAAGAAAAAACTGCACATTGTCTTCTATATAACGTCTTGTGGTACTGGTCGAAGGCAATCAATCTTTTTACCTATTAAGTCAGTCCAGTCGAAGTACCAAATTCCCCTGACTGATATCGTTGGTGCGTGCTACCATTTATTTTATTCTTTCTCTTCTTACAAGCTATTTGTTTACTCACTTCGTGAGTCTTCCTCTTATTAGAAAAACCATTCTGACAAACTACGCAATTCTGTAATTTGCTCATATTTCATCGTACATTGGATTATACATTTTTAAGTTCATACACAATAATAAAAAATATATATTATTGAATCAAAAGTATTTCAATAAACATGTGTTTACAAAATCTACACTGCAAAAAAAATTTATTTCATTCAAATAATCGGTTACGTGACTATTATCAAATAAATATTTACTTGTACCAAATAAGTTTTTATTTGAATTAAATAAACTTTATTTGAACCAATAATTTCTGTATATTTAAAACACCATTTAATTGACTCAAGGGTCAGACCATTATATTTCAAATAAAGTCGTTGCAGTCGAATCTTAGAAAAAATTGATTTTTTCAGGTTAAAACAGTGTATTTTCTTCTAATCGGAACGTGGTTCTTCTAACTTGAAGTTGGGTTTTTCTCGCGAACCACGTTCCGATTAGAAGAAAATACACAGTTTTAACCTGAAAAAAAGTGAAAATATTAAACACTTATATCTCTGAAACTAGATTCGGGACCAAAACGAAACTTTCGATTTAAAAGTTGTGAAAGTGCCAAATTATTTGATTTTTCTTTAACGGAGATATTAATTTGCAAAGTTCGAAAAAGAAGATCGCGTACTTTAAATTCAAATTTCAAGAAAAGTAAATTTTTTTTACATAATTCTTTTTATTTCATTCCCTCGATATTATATAGAATCATTTTTGAAAAAATTAATTTTTTCTAAAATTCGTCCGCAACGACTTTATTCGAAATATAATGGTCTGACCCTCAAATAAAAATTATTTGGTCCAAGTTAATATTTGTTTTGCATGTTTTTGGCGATTTAATTGCACAATCGTATCAATGCAGGTACGTTATAATTAAAATTATTAATAGTAATTTTACAGTAAATGTATTGACTTTAAGGGGAGGGTATAGTTAATTCGGTGGAAAAAAGGCATTTTTTTATGGATTTTTTTAGGCGCTCTGGTTAAAGCCTTGTGTATTTAACAAATTTTTACTGTAATAGTACATCATTTGAAAAATATTTGATTAAAATTTCAAAGTAATATCTGAAGAAGGATTGGCACGCGACTTTCGAAGACGCCTAAAAAAACTCAAATATTTAAACCGTTTTTTCCACACTTGTTATTTTTAAAGTCGGTGTTCACTGTCACTCAAAATCTACTGCACCGTTTCTTTTGAAATTTGGTACACTCTTTCTACACACATAAATGGCGAGATAACGTTGTCGAATTTTTTTCATTTATTATTATTATCATAACAATGATGATATTATAATAATTAATTTTATTTTAAAAGACTCTTTACAACATAATATATAATTTACAAAAATACTATTAAAATAAGTCTATAGATCTTTTGTACACAAATATACATATATATGTATAAAAAATTTATCAAATTGTTGATATGTGGTTTAATCTCCTTTTCAAAAATTCCATTAACCGTACAAGGGTGGGTGGTGAGTTCAGAACGATAATTGAAAATTGACATTTTTTATCTTGAATAATCCCTCCGACATGCTGCTGGGTCGATCACAAAGTGAGATTTGCAGAGGCTTTACTAATTAGAATTCTCTCCTCTACTGTCCTTTCGAGCCCCGTACTAGATTACATTCTGCAAGGTTTTTTGCTTTGTTTTTCCCTTTTCAGGTGTATATATATGACCGCGTCTGAAAAGGGGTGTTATCGACCAAAAAATAAAATTTCATTTTTTTTATTGATTTTCTTCTAAAGAAAAGTACACTGATTACAAATCCGATCTCAGTTTTCAAAATTCAAAATGGTGGATTCAATATAAAAAAAAGTTTTTTTTTAAAATTTGAACGGATTTGCTTCAATTTAGTTACTCGAGTCTGTATATGAAATAAGAACCCTATTAATTAGACTTAGGCAGCAAACCAATTAGTAACAATTTTAATTTAATTTTTTATAGCTAATCTTAATTTCTCCTATAGTTACGAACTAATTTTTGTATTAAATTATTTGTGGTTGTAGTATATTTATATTGCATAAAATATTAATGGATGGCAAAATTAATTAATGAAGAAAATAAGAAAATATTTTGACTAAATGATATATAGTGTGTTATTTTAATTTGTAAATCGCAGCAATTAAAAGAAGCGATTGATTTTCTTTTTTCTCAATACACTTTAATTGTTGGCAATATCAATATCAACAAGAGAGATTCCCTTTGAAGCTATTTAATAATGAGAGTCTCTATTACTCAATGACTATTATAGAGGGGGAAACTCTGTGTGCCAACGGTTAATCACCGCTCATCCCTTAACTGAACTGGAGACATAGTTTGGCGCGAGCAGCAACCTCGTGGTTCCAGCCCCCATATCAATTAATCTTGTCCAGAATGCAATAACTGTCCAATCTGCCATATATCGGGCTGCGTCATGCAGTCAGTGCTGTTATGTGCTCTTGAGTAACGAAAAGCATCCACCAGTGCACAAGGGTTCTTGAAACGTGCTCTTATTCTAGAATCCTCTACTCAAAATCTCAAGCTAAGGGCGAGAAATTAAACTTCAGAAAACTGAGGTGAATAAGCACAAAATTCGAACATACTAAATCTTTATTAAGGGATAATTTAATAACTCATGTAATTACTTTTAAGAATACATGTACAAACATAAAGATTTTTTTATTTTATGAAAAATATTTAAATACTTTAAATACAGAAAAAAATTAATCTTTTAACAAAATAAATTTCAAATTCAGTCAATCTTAAAAATAATGCGTATTACGGGATGTTTGTAAATCTGAATTCTATAATAAAAAGAAAATCTTGAAAGTAAGAATGTCTTTAATATTAATTTAAACAAAAACAAATTATATTATTAAAATTTTTAGTTCTGACTTCACGAGAGTTCCTTACCTACCGATTTTTCTAATTTTAGAGTTTCCTAAAAACTAAATTCCTAAAGTTATTAAATTTTCTTAATTTCCTGTTAATTTTAATTAAGAATTTGAATGAAATTTATTCAACATTATTAAAATCAAATTTGTTGTTGCATATGAGAAACAATTGCAGATCGAATGTTTTGCTATGGAACACATATTTTAGAAAAAAATTCTATTGTTCGGAAAAGTATACTTTAGGAAAATAAAATTAGGAAAATTGAGTTAAGAAAAACGATGTGTGAAAATAATTTTTAGGAAAATGTTGCTATAAGGAAAAATGGTTTTTAGGAAAATGCAATTAGGAAACTCGGTCGGGAACGCTTTACAAGGATTAAGAAATTCAACTTCTTTTTAACCTTAATTTTACAAATACCTGACTTATACCAATGCTAAATCACAGGCAGCTTTTCTAAAAAATTTTAATTTAAAAAATTTTTATTTTCTGAAATGTTGTAATTTTTGAAATAAATAACAGAATTTTTTTTAAAATTAAACTTTATGAAAAAAAAGTTTTCGAAGAAAAATAATTAGAAAATAAGTTCAAGAAAAAGTATACCCCAAATCAGTATGAGGAATAAGCTCAAAAAATCAGTAATGACTGACTTAAAAATATTAAAAATAATCAAAAATAAGAACTTTTTCCTTCCCATAATTTGTACTTTTCTATTTTTCTAATAAAATTTTTTCCTTTCAAAATAAAGTTAAAAATTTTTATACAGACATATATTTGACAAAAACTGAAGATAAATTATATAGTTTTTGGGTAAGCAGACATTAAAATAGATAAAAATAAATGGTTTAATAAGAAAGTATTTACAAATAGTAACAGCGTTTATTGTTAATAATAATAATAATAATAGTAATAATAATAATAATAATAATAATACAATAATTACAGAATAATAATAATAATAATGATGCAACAATAAAAACTTGAATAGCAGAGAAGAAAGACTGTTTAACCTTTGGCGAGACTTTGGAGGACACAAATTTTTAAACCGACCACAAGTGTCCGAAAGTTTAACTATTTATACTATTTATATAGATAAGTTTTTCTTTGTTTATTTATATATTTATATATGCGCTTAAACTATTCAAGATATACAAGCTAAGTGTTATGTACAATGTTGGTCATACGACTGAAAGTGAATATAATTATTACCTTCGTTGAATGAAGAATCTTAAGATATGCGTAGAAAATTTTTATCATCCATATAAACGGGGAATATACAAAAAGAAAATTTTTTAATTAACAAAACGCACAGATAAATATGATAAGAAATTAACATTTTGAATCTATATGACACTATATTGACCGAATTTCAACGTTAAGTACTCTTTCTGTAACTATTACACACACAAAAATCAAATAACAGCAGACTTAATCACATATTATTCGTATAACCTATATTCGTCTAATATTAAAGAACAATAATAATTAATCGTCATTTTTGCATAAAACAACTCTTCATACACGTTCACAAGATTTTAAATGCCAATTTAATTCAATTTAGTTAAATAAACCGTTGAATTCAAAATAAACATTCAGTTAAATATATTTTTTTACACATGTGCGTTTAATTATAAGTAAAGTTATTTGACAAAGTATACATATACACTATCTCGTAGAACAGATCCATATACAAATAATTACATAAACATAATTAGTAACAATCAATTACACATTTTTTGGTCTTTGTCAATTTTAAAGTGACAAGCTATGAAAAATAAATAATTAAAATAAATGTAATCACTTTTAGTCTCAATATTGCATCTTTTATGTTAATGACTAATTAATGATTTACAGTAAAGAAAAGTATATTTTAGTCAATTGAGGGTTCCCATGCAGTAGTCCATCAGGCGCTTGAGCTGCCTGACCCAACCGCAATATCTACTTCGAGTTGCGCAAAGGCTCAACTCGAAGTAGAAACTGCGGTTGGGTCAGACTGCTCGAGTGGAACCCTCAGTTATACATTTTAAGTTTTTAAATGTTTTATCAAATCATCGCTAAACTAAATTCAAACAGTCAATTATAATATCCATTAATTAAGTATTCAATTCATTAAGACATTTGACAACATGTAAATTTCAACTAAATTTTTAACTTATTAAATCATAACATCAGTGTGTAGATGGGAAAATATTGAAAATAATTTTTGCAAAGTAATACAATTTTTGAATACAGTTTATTTGCACATAAGTATTCATAGTCACTCTGTAAAAATTTTCTGCAATTTTTCCACCTTAGATGATTTAGTTGATTTTTTAAAAAATTAAATTTTCTTGATTGATATTTATTACACATATAAAAAAACAAAAAAGTTCTCAATATATAAGAGATTCCTTTTATTTTACGACTTTTCTTTTTATATTAAGAGAATTTTTTTTCTTAAATTTTCTGTATAATGTAAAAATAATATTAAATATAGAGCATTCCATGTGAGGTTTTCATTCAAAAAATTTTTTTTACTGGAAATGTTTTTATTGAAATTTTTATTTAAAAAAATAAGAAAATTCGTATTTTATTATTTTTTTATTTGATAAAAATTATGAAAGTTATGATTTTTTTAAATTTAACGTCCTCAGAAGCCGAGTAGTTTTGAAATGCGTTTTACTCTGTTCTACTAACAGATAAAAAACAAAATTATATATGAAATTTCTTCGATTTTTTCAGTATTTTAAATACGTATTTAAAAAATAATGCAAATACAACAGAAAAATACATGTTTCAAAATTACTCGGCTTCTAACGGTGTTAAAAAATTATAACTTCCATAATTTTTATCAAATAAAAAAATACGTATTGTCTTATTTTTTATACAAATTTCGAAGAAAATGCTGAATTATTATTATTGAATATAATATTAAAAACAAAGAAAGAATTTTACTTGGATAGAAAAACTTAGAAGTCCACTTTTAGTTTTCAATTATGAAAAAAATCATCTTCGTTGTAGAAAAATATTCTTATTTTAAAAATAAAATATAGAAAACGAAATATTCTTTTTATATATTGAGAAAATTTTTCGGCTCTAAAAATAAAAAAAATTTAGATTTAAAATGTTTAAAATTTAAAACATTTTTTAACAGCGCAATGACATAACAAAATTATCTGAAATGCTTTAAGGCAAACCAACATCCAATAGTAAATTGTATTCATAATATTATTATGTAATAATATTTTTAAAATACCTTTTATTGAATTCGCCCAGAAAACAGTTATCAAATGTCTATTTTGATGCAACTTTTTCTTTTATAACGAATATTTCGAAGGATCAGTATTTTATTATTCTCGTACAGAATCTTCCCACTAAAAAGATCATATACTTTACTAAAATCTGTTATTCTCGTAAATTTTACATTATTGTTTATCAACAAAGAGAGATTTGTTTTAAAAAATGTAATCTTTTACTCTGAAGTGGAATATTCTTATATTTTTAAGAGAACAATTTTAAGACAATTTTTTTTCTCACTATAAAACTGAACTGTTTCTGGGAGAACTAAATAATTTTGATGGATATTTTTTTCAATAATATAATGTACCTAATCAAGATTGCAGCAGATATTTTTCTGTGAAACATAAATTTTTCTAAATGATAACATTCTGAAATCTTATAAGTCTGAAATTATTGTCGATGAAATATTCATTTATTCAATTTATAGAAACTCAAAGTGAATATATTAACATTACATTAACAACAATATAAGATTCCCGATTATTATCATTATAAAGAATATAAAAATGGAACTTGATAAAATAGATTCTCCTATGATCGATAATAATGAATTAATAAATTTTTCCGGTTCTGCTCTCTCTAATTTAGAGAATAAATAGGAATGATATGGAGGGACTCTATAAAAACATAATATATATTATTAAATTAGTAATTAGAGTAGTTTTGTTTTTTGGTTTTAAGACACAGAGCAATGCACTTTAGGAATGTAATACCGTAAATCCATATATATGAAAATCAGAAACAAGCAGATTACCTAAATCGTTGGATTATTTCCATAAGAAGTTCTTTACTGTGCTCAGTTCTCAAACGTTAACAACTGTATGTATATCAATGCAAATAATCGTACTGATACACTACGCATTTGACAATCTTAGGTGTGCCGCTTATAGAATTATAAATATTTATAAATTTTTTTTTCTTTTTTTGACAGTACTTTTTATTGTAATATGGAAGCATTCCCATTGGTTAAATTATTTTGAGGTATAGAACCAATTGCCGGACGATGAGACGTTCCCAAATCAGCATGTTGGGTCTCTCGATGTCTCCTGAGATCGACTTTACGTTGAAAGGCCCTTCCACAAAGTTCACACGCAAATGGTTTAAAACCAGTGTGCTTCCTCGAGTGTGTTATTAGATTGCTGCTTTGCGAAAATGCTTTACCACAAACTTGACACTTATGGGGTTTCTCTCCTGTAACAAAAAATCAGATTACAAATTTCTGCACACAAGTTTCAACAATTTAAAGCTTATGTACTTTTTATTTAAGTTTTATCATTGTTTAATTTTTCCGAAATAGTAGATACAGTGTCAATTTTTAAAATTCTTGGCAAGGGAAGAAGTCGACGTAAATTCTCTAGCATATTATTTATCTTTAACCTTATGAAAGTTCTGTTAATTGCATGCCCATTTTTATTGCAATTTCTTCTATTTAATGTTCCGCAATATACAATAAATAATTATGTCCCTTTTAACTTGCTATCAGTTCTCGATATATCGAATGTGTTTATTTGTAAATGATTTGTATTATCAAGTGGAAGATAACAATATTGATTTATTTTTTATGTCGCTCAAGTTCATATATACATTGAAAGTTAAAATAGCTTTGATTTATTCAAATAAATAAAAAAAAATGAAAATTAATGAACAATAATATTGGCAATGTCTTTTCTACAGCCCCATAATATTGATACTGTTTTGGGTTGACAACCAAGTGTCGATTCACCCTCCAAGCGATATTACGTTAATTCAAGAGTACCGATTCCATCTCTCAAAGTACTTGAAGACTAAGGTAGTATCAGAGATGCGGGGCACGCCCGGTCAAGATTTCCTTTCGAGCGAGAATCTCAGCCACCCCCGGCCAGGTCCATGAAGTAACGGGTGAACGGGGGCAGAGGTGGGGCCAGAGTATAGACGCTAAAAGAGAGACAGGGAGAAAACGGGTGTGATACGCGCTCGTTTCTCTCATCTTGGTTGTGAGTTCTGATTGGTGAACGGGGGCGGCTCCAACCCCCTGTTACCATAGTAACCGCGGGATGACCTGGTAGAGTGTGTATGTATATGTGGAAGAAAGAGCGAGAGAACTGGAAAGAATTCCGTTACGTGAACTCTGTTGCCTCCAAGTGGTACCTGTTAATGGAATCCAGCTTCCATGACCGTTGCCTGTCTGTTTCACCAATTCTCACTGGATATCAGAGAATGAAGCCATAAACAATTCGTTACTCTGGCCTTCAATCTAGCAAACGCGATACCGGTTATACCTGGCGATGGACTGTTACGAATGCCGCCAATCAAAGTGACAAATGCATTCATCAACGTATTTAATTGTCCATTGTCGGTACTTTTACAATTTAACACAAAAAATACTTGAAAAAATATTTCCCTAAAAAAGTAGCAGAGTATGAAACAAAAGTAAACTTGATGCTAAAATCATAAATTCAGACTGTCGATGTCAATTGTTCATTACGATTGAGGAACTGTTTGAAGAATTCAAGTCGAATTTTCCATAGACGATAAAATTCCAAATGATGAGAATTGTGTAGAGGGAAGGAAGGAATGAGGGAAAAAGAGAGAAAGGTCGCCCTAAGGAATTTACGGTCTCGTAAAAATCAAGAACCGTCCGGGTTCGTACCGAGGTTGCCCTTTCGTCTTTATCTTCAGTCCAGCCACACGTCGGAAGGTACGTATGCACAACCTATGCATTTTAATACATGTGCACGTATGTGTACCACGAAAGGTGTGAATGTTGGTATGTGAGAGTTTTCTCGAAGCTTTCCGTTCCCAGATTCTGAAAGTGTAATCTTGAAAACGTCTACATATCAGTGAATTCGTAATTTAATGTTTTCTGCATAGAAATAAAGTCTGCAAGTGAAAGATCAATAGCTACTCTGTTTTGATTCACGATTTTAGTTTCTTTTCACTAAAGACGTTCCGACTTTCCAAACGTGAACTATATATATGTATATATATTGAGAGCCCCTGAAGCTTAAGACGCCATTACAACCCCAGCCTGTCGGCCGCCGCCCCTAAAACTATATTAAACTCCGGCAAATCTTGAGGGTCCTTTTCTCACTCTTTTTCTCTGTCTTTTGCTTTCGTGTAAGCTTTCTACGGTCACACACTACTATAGCTGAAGTGCGGCGAATCTTATCCGACCTTCTCTTACCCTTGCCAACCTTCTCTTATACTCTTCACCCAACCTCCTACTCCCACCCAAGTCTTTCCCACCACTTCATGAGACAAGCGCTGCAAAACCAAGACGGCACTTTGATCGCTTTTCCAACGAGTCGACTACCCTGCGAACTTTGCAAATTGAAGCCTTTTCTCACCCTCTTTCAAAGACTCTTTTTTTCTTTTTATCGTGTGAATCAAGACTACTTTTAGACACTCCTATTGACATGTGCTTCTTCAAAAGTCATTAAACAACAATAATACAATAAAAATCAAAATCAAATTTTCTCCACAAAAATTTATCGTCATTTCTTCTTCAGACAAGTTTTTTTGTCAAACTTTTGAAATTAATTATCAAACACAAAACCAATTATTTTTGCAAATTGACATAAAAATTAGATTAAAAAAATGCTATCAACTAAAAAATTTTGGTTCCGGAGATTTTACTAATGTTAAAATTTTGAAAAACATAATTCTATTATTAAACTTTGTTGGTACTTAATTATTAAATTATATTTTTTAAAAATGATTCATATTTAATGATTTATTAAATTTAAACATATAACTTTAAATTTAACTTAAATTTTTCACATAAGATATTAAATTATGATTATGTGTCTGTCAGTTTCAGTGTATAGGTATCAATTATAACTTTGCACGAAACTTTAAATATGTATTATCTTCTATCTATAATATTAAACAAAAATTATTTTGTACGTAAAACTTTCAGTAGGAATAATCTTGTACTGAATATTGAATAAGATTTATATTGTCCGATAGTTTTAGTAGATAGTGTTTTGCACTCAATTTTAAGTAAGAATTTTATTGAAGAGAAATTCCAATAACAATTGGCATTATAAAAGTATAATAGAAATTGTTTTGCGTTTGTTTTACAATGAGTTTTGTGTATTATATAAACGAGAAGCGTCGTTATAACAATTAAACTATAAAATGTGTATTATAACAAATAAAAATACTAAGTTAATCACTAAATTAAAATTTTGACTAATATTCAAATTCAAAAAAATGTATAATTATTTAGCTAAAAGCTGTAAGTAAATATTTGGATATAACTTTTATCAAGATATAAACCTACCACTGTCGGATTTGCTGATTCTTAATATTATATACAATTTGTCCATAAGCTTATGCTTTGTAACATTTATTACATAAGAAACAAAACGAAAATATTTGCGACCAGTGAAATATATCAAGATATAATCGCCACTGACGCATATTATTTGTAAGGAATGATGTCATTGTATACACTCGACTCATCGATTTACTGCCGATCGGGATTAAATGGATAAATCAACTATTTTATTTCGCTAAGATTGCGCAAGTGATATAGAATATAAGTCAGATAGAAGGCAGCTTTTCCTGTGGCGCGATTGAAATTACGAATCCGCACAGACGTTTCCTTTGCTAAATCTATATAAACTGCGTTCTTCTATATATGTGGAGAATATATAGTATACGGGAAGGAAATCAAATGGAAGGAAAAGAGGTTGGTGAGGGGTTAGAGGAAACGAAGGAGGAAAGGAGAACCGGACTCTGGCAGCAGAAGCATTGATTTCCTCTCGTCTCCATCGACCACGTTTCTACTCTCTGGGGGCGTCTCTGCCCTCCAATCCAAATCCCCGTGAGAGGAGTGCATGGTAGAGGAGATGCGAGAGTAAAGTGAAGAAAAAAAAGAAGAGCGAGAGGAAAAGCACCACATCTCATATTTCACGTCGAGGACAGCATGGATTTTCTGTAGTATCACTAAAGCTTTGAGATAGGATTACAGATGGATATCAATCAGACTTTTCTTTCGTTTTCAGGATATATTGGATCGTATCGTTCAAAAGTCTAATACATGCGAGTACAGCGTTATATCGAGAAGAAATTTTACAGAAACTGACATAAAAATGTCTTTAAATTTATTGTTGCGGTATCGCGGCAAAGATATATTACCTCATTGCACAACAAGTAATCCCGATTCGAGAAGCGTCACTTGTATTTCAGGCGTGTTATCTAGTCTCAGTAGACCCAATTCTGTTTAACAACGCGTTGCATTTACTATTTTAGGAACACGAATAGTTGGGTTGCTACTCTGTTCGACGATAGAGAATACAGCTAGAATATTGTCATGGGATACGATGATATGACTGTGTATCATATGCATACGTACTCGTGCAAACGCTTGCAATTCGCGTTCATTGTGTACTTCCACAGTTACGCGCAACGCCCGTTCAAAGCACAGCCCTGGGAATTTAGCAGTGGTCGAGCTACAGTGGAAAATGTTTTGCACGAAACTGATATAATCGTGCTTCATCAATTGGATGAGCCGTATTCAAAATCTATATCTAACAAAAATAGAAATTGTATAACAGAAAAAAACATTGATTACTTGTGTCCTTTCTTTCTAGACTTCTGAATGAATGTCGATTTTCAATTTTCATTTTGCTTACAGATAACTCGAAAAAATTGGTATCGAATAGTGAAATTTGAGAACACATTGTCATATTTGACAAGTGTCTTTTATGATAATACGACAGGATCTAATACAGTTTAACATAATACAATTATCTTTTCTGATAGAGAGGCAATTTCAGCAAAGGGCTGTAGAAACAGGATATACTGCTATAAGTCGGTTAGATCCTTAGTGCTTCTATTCCGTGGGGAGCGCAAGATAATAATCTTTTCGTACTGATTACGACGAATGGATGCCTATTAAATTATTATTGTACCAATAACTTATGAATTGTGACAAATCTGATCTCTATTCTCTTTGGGTGTATTTTTTCATAATTCAGAAATAATCGCCGATTACGCATTTATCAATTAAAGTGGTTTTGTTCCTTAAAGCATTTACACTGCAATTTTTAATTTATTACTTCTATTGATAAATGACGAAGAAATAATAAAATAAAAAATCTATTGGTCGTATTTGAATGGTACGACTCTTGGGAGTCGGCACGTGACCAAAAGAGATAATCCTTTTTTCCCTGAGTAAAATATCGAGAACTAATTTTTTTTACAGACGATTTCAACCTGAAAAACCAATGTTGTTTTGTAAAAATTATTCAAAAACAACACCTATTTTTCAATTGAAACACGACATAGGGATGAAAGACATATAGAATTTACAGCGACGATGTATGTGTATGCCATCAGTTGCAGTTAATTTTAACCGTCTGAACGAGGTGGTTGTTCGAATGGCGGATGAGTGTACGTGCAGGTATACAGAAAACGGGAGGCGAGAGGTGTGACGTGTTTCTGGCATGTCGATATCCCTGGAAATTTAATCATGCCGCACTACTATGGAACACTATGTGCTCCTCCCGCGATGGAATACCAACAGCAGCGCAACGTTATACGCCTAGAATTTGCATGTTTAATGCAGCATCGGTTGTGTCGTTGCGCTCCGCGTCGTGACATTATAAATATAAGGAGTCAAGCTTCAGTACACGACACGTGTACGACAGGAGGCACTTATCTTGATATGAAACTACATTTGATATAGTCATATATCCACTACATTAAAACTTGAACACCATAAAATATTTTCCTCTATATGGATATTCTATATCTTTTATTGAAGAGTTCAACTCAATGTGTTAGTCTAAGTGAAAGTAATAAGTCACGAAAACTGAATCAGTAGAACTGCCCTAAAAAAAATTTTATTTATAATATGTGGAAACAATTATATAGAAAAAGAATTTCATCAACAATATACTGATCAACTTTTTTATGTCAGTCATGTTTATGAAATATTAATAATAAAATTATTAATTTTCTATGCATTTTAATTCAATTTTCATAGTGTAATTATGTTTTGCATTACAGGTACTGAAACAATAGTTTTACAAGCATTATATTACAAGAGATTCACTAACGAGCCACAGAGGTGACGGAGGAACGAGTTCGCTGTCGCAAAGTTTAAACAGCTTAGAGGGATGTTGTGGCGCTCCAACGCTTGGGGTGCTTAGTCAGCTGGAAACCTCTAATAGTCTTGAAGTTTACGCACAAAGACCACAAAGGAGTCTCTATTCGTGAATGATACAATAATCGTACCCTGGAGGTGAGATTGGGTAAAGCATCATTTTCAGAGGTTAATTTTGGATTTTCATAATTATTCCATTTTTTTAAACAAATTAATTTTTTGTTTTAATCAACTTTATTCTCATATTGTAAATTTTTCGCTCATGAGGTGGAGTTGAACACAACGCTTTAAGTGGACCAATGACAACAAGTAAATCTCTTAGTCAGAAACTTTACTTTTAGCCAAGTGAACAGACTGTATTTACTATAAAAACAGGGGTTGACACTGTATATGTCAAAGTGCAGGTATAGAAAATACACTGCCTCAAATATTGTCATAAAAAAGAATCGTCAGTGCTGAATGTTATACTAATAACACTTGTGGGTTCTCTATATGATTAATTTATTTTAATTAATTTTTTCCATATATTTAATTATACGCAATATTAAAATACATTTTGAAAGAATTTTTTTCCCGTCCATGAGAAATTTTGTTGGAAATAAATTCATTAGGAGATTAAATCAAGTGGGAAAAAGACCCACACCTTTTTACTCTCTACATATTAAACTCACATACGCATGTGAAGCTTTGTTTTCATTCGTTGAACGCAATAATAACGATTGGCCACTTGTCGGTCTGTCACCTCGTATGCGATTCAGTGACTGTCATGGCTCTAAAATAACCCTATTGTGCACTTGACTCGTTGCACCCTCCCGATATTCATCTAGGAAACATCGCGGCACATATACTTATTCTGGCCCCCGTAACGTCACACACCGCGCCATTTCACTCCCTTTTACGCTATTTCAAGCGGTCTCGTACAGGAACAATATTTGCAGAGCTCTTATTCCTGGTCTCTCTCCTCCCCGCCCTTTATCCGCACCCCTCTGTCTCCGCGTGCAATAGCACCACCACCAGCACCCACCTACCTAATAATGATTTTACGTTACGCCATTCTAGTCCCTGGGGAATCCGACAGTGCCGCACCCTTATTGCACATGGCCCACTCTGCCAGAGAAGAAGGGTGAGGTTGGGAACGAGGGACTGATTATCATTAGCTATACCCACTGTTTCCTGGCACGCTGATATACCAAGACATTTGTAAATGAAAAAAGGAAGAAAATAGCCATGATTCTTCAAGACATATACCTTAATACTTGTGGAAGAATTGGCTGATGATACAAATAATTAACCATATGTTTTTTATGAAAGGAAAAATGATGTTAATTCAAGGAAAATAAGGTCAGCAATAAAAAAGTATATTTTAGAACTTTAGATACTAAAAAGGTATCAAGTTTTATGAAGGTGATTCATTAAAGTTAATAAGCTTAATTTATCTCAACAACAAAATATTGTCTGTGCGCACATGCAAATATGACTCTACTTTTGTAATAAAACAACTTTCCGTTTCCAATTTATTTATAAACTAGAATGCTTGTATCAAGAAAATGTGAGTTTTTTGCGTGACTGACGCGATATAATCATTTTTTCTATCTGGTAGTAATTGTGACAGGCCATAGCGGGTATTAGACGGTTACTTGGAGAATCACTGAATTTTTCATTTCCTGAATAATGAATTAAATGTTCGGAAGCGACCCTTGCCCATACCCGAACCCTCGCGTCCAAAGGTACTTACACACAATACAGTCTGTTAGCAGCCGAGTAAGTGACCATCGTTGGTCCTTTGTGTGTCCTCTTTTATCGCGTTCTCCTTACTCGACAAATTCAAGGGATCTTCGAAACACGGGTATGAGAGACTGAGGAGTATATATATATATATATATATATATAGGGAGGACAAGGTGATAATTTGATAAGACATTGGGAGGGTTACCATGGAGACGATACAAAACCCAGACTCGACACGACTCCTCTTGGCTCTCCCTCGTCTACGCCTCCCATTCCTTTCTCTCACTCTCTCAGCATCTCTTCTGAGTGATCTCTCAAAATCCCACCTCTCTAATGTTCTTCCTTCACTCCACCTTAGCGACTCTCTCGTTCCATCACTATATATGCGAGGCACCTAAGTGTCAAGAGTCTCACCCATCATGCTTTTTTCTTACACCACTCGTTTTCCATCCTGAGATCCCATGTCAAAGACAAACATACCCCACGAAAAAAGACAACAACAAAAATCATTTCCTATATACGATTGACAGAGTAACTGGAAAACTTTTCAGCATCTTGTAACTTTACATTTCATTTCGGGAGAAAAAAGTATAAGACCTATCTCCTGTACAAAAATATATTCTGTAAAGAACAGAAATTTGTTTGTGTTTTGTTATAATATTCATAAATTTTATTTTTAATTAAAATTTCTTTTGATTAGTTTCTTAAAAAAAGGGTGAACTGTTTAGGCATTCAGCTAGAATGTAAAGAGTTGAACTACCTCGGCATTCAACCTTCTTAAAAATTATTTATTGTGATAAATACAAAATGGAAAGAAACTGAATAGTGTGCATGCAAAAACTTTGTTCAAGAATTATTCCTAAATTTGTTCAGAAACTGAGGATATGAGAATAATTTAAGTAATCTTATTAATATTTCTTTGAAAAAATCTAAGCGATATTTATATAAGAATTGAAGAGAATTTCAAGATAACTTCCTAAACTTACTACAGAAATTCTTGAACTCGTTTTAGAATAATTTTTTACGTTTGCGAGAAAAAAATTTACTGTATGAATACTCGAACCCACGTCCTCGAGACTCCAAAATCTCCGCCTTAAGTCTCTCAGCTATACCTTAGATATTTGATGCCTAGCGCTTGGTTACTGTATACTACGTCTTCTAAAACAGTTCAAGAATCTTTCAGAACCCAGTGACTGAGATATTCCGATCGCGGCATTAACAACAAGTCTTTCAATATCATAATAAAAACACATGTATTTTCTTGAATAATTTTTTTACTTTTCTGTCAGTTTTGCAGAATTTTTTCATATCCTCAGTTCCTGAACAAATTCAAGAATGATTCTTAAACAAATTTTTTCCTTGTGAACATTCAGTTTGCAAACGAAAATAATTTTCTTTGAATAATTTTAATACTCTACTTAGGAGTTTGTTCTTCAGTGTATTTAGCACCCGAGTTTTGTTAGAGGTAACAATAGATAACGTCACCGATCATAAACAGGAGAGATTTGGTAATAATATTAAAGAATTCAAAAACGACAAAGAGGGCAGAAAAAGATGAAGAAGAGGGAACTCGGAAGGGGACGAAAAGGATTAGTCAGTATTTCGTGCAACTTTGTACGAGCCTTTGCAAAAATTAATTACACCTGATATCTGTTAATGAAAAAATATTCTCTACACTCATGGAAAAATTATTTTGCTTCGCAATATTAGCACCATACTAAATAAGATGACATGTTTTCAGCAGAAAACTATTATGAATAGTTTATATTTTTAATTAATTTGTTAGGTGCAAATTAGTAAATTGTAAAAAAGTAGTAACATTTTAAGATATTTCACTTTGCACGAAAAGTAAATGAGTACAGTATAAATTTTGGTTAAATATTTTTTCTAATCATAAAATTTTTCCCACGGATAATTTGATACTAGTAAAATCTCATAAGTCAAGTGGACAACTCCGATGAGTGCCATTATCGAAATGGTCGTTCGTGCATTGGAGAGAAAAGATTCGCCGAGTTATAGAGCATACTGAAGCACCCCAAAAAGACATTAAGATTATTACGAAACATGCTACGCAATGTGGGGCTTGTGTGATCCCTCTCTTGCTTTTATATGTAGGCACACCAGTAGCACATGTGACTCGGCCACTGTGGATTGAATTAACTTATTCAGCTTTGACTTGAGCCAGATAATTGTTCGCTACATTATTTAGTGCATGTGCACATGTATAGCCGAGACACTAATTGATACCCGCATTCCAATTATATGAAAACTATAATTCAGAGGGACAAAATATGAAAAACTTACCTGTATGGATGTAGGTGTGCTTCTTCATATCACTTTTTTGATGGAAGCGTTTACCACAAAATTGACATGGATAGGGCCTTGTATCCGAGTGAATAAGAAGATGAGTGCTGAGTGTGCTTGATCTTTTAAATGCTTTTCCACATTGTTTACATTCAAACACCTTCTCCGCCGAATGAACAGCTCTGTGTTGAGTTAAACTAATTTCGTGTCCAAACGTTTTATTACATAATTCACAAGCAAATGGCCTTTTTCCATTATGAGACCTTCTTGCGTGAACCTATTTTTTCAAACAAAAGAATAATATAATGTGAAAATTCACCTAAAAATCTGTTCTTAAACTGCTAGTTATAGTATTTTTAACTGTATTATTTATTTCATTCAGTAAGAAATTTTTAAGCAGAAAATATCTAAAAGCAAAAATATGTATCGTGTCTATTGACCGAAAAATATTAGGTTAAATATTTCCGATTATTTGAAAGATACCATGGGTTTAACCATAAGCAAATATGTACTTTCTGAGTGACGGCCGCAGTGTCGTAAATAGTAATAAAAAGATGAAATATATAGTCACATAAGAAAATATGGAATTCCGAATAGTTCGGTTGGCTTGTAAATCAATCAAATATTTTTTCCGTATATGCGCATAAATTGATATTTAAAAAAATTTGTATAATTGAATTAATCGGAGCAGAACAGCATAAATGATGGAATCAACATGTTTTAGGAACCAATAAAAACTGTTTTTTATATTAATTTAAGAAATTTATTAAATCTTTTTTTACGTTATACTATACTAACATATAATTTTAAAAATTCACAGTTATTTTTATTAATATAGCCGTATAAAAAATTATAATTAAACTTTTTGACTTGTTATTTGTGCACGGAATGAAGTGTAAAACACAAAACACATATATAAGGAACAGATTTTTCTAAATCGAAAAATAAAATTATAGATTTTCACTGAATGAAATAATTGAAATTGTTGACTCTGCTCTGGTTGAAATAGACTTTGAAAACGTAATAAAATTGTTATAGATAAAAATCTAAACTTACTTCGAGGCCATGAGGAGTACTGAACATCTTATCACATTTAACACAGCTGTACACATCGCCTAGGGGATGAGGATGATGTAGTCCATGAGCCGCATGTGGCGAGTGTAGACTAGGATGTCCGGGATGAACTCCTCGTAGAAGTGGATGAAGATGAGGTGGAAGTAAATGATGTGGCAGTAATTGTGGATGCAGGTACGAAAGTGGGTGGTGTGGATGAGGCGGGAGAAGGCCACCTTGTAAATGCAATGGCGGATACAAGATGGATGATGGAGGAGGATGTTGATGGCTAGAACTTACAGACGTTGGAACGGATTCTCTTAAAGGAGAGGAATTTTGAAGATGTGCCGACGGAGGATCGGGCCTCAGCAGAGCGCTTACACTGAAGGAGTCACCAGTTCTACAAAAATTACCACAAAAGCAATCTATTTTAATTCTCACCTTTTTTAAAAAACTTTATATTATGATGAAAAAGTACATCATTTTCATTTTGAATATAACATGTGAAGATACAGTGAATGATTAAATTTAATTTAACACCAGAAAAAAGTTCTTAATATATGAGAGGGTTCCTCTTATTCTTATTCAATACCAAATTTGGTCACTTAAGTATTTCTAATGTCTAATTGAGAAGATTTTCCTTTTATACAATTAGAGATGAATCTTCTTAGATAAACAATTTATTTTGTGTTAATTGTATACATAATGCAACCTTTTTTACTTATTTAGAATAAAATGATACGGGTTGAAATGTTTACCTTTCATTACTCGCATCAATTTAATAATAAAAACAGAAATTAATTTTATAAATAAAGATAAAAGATTTTAATTTTATAGAAATAATTCCTAAAGTAAAGAACGAATTTTAATTAAAAAGAAAAAATTAGGTTATCTAATCAATAATAGAAATATTTTTTTTTCTTTGTAAAAAATTCTTTCAAATAATTTTCCAAGTTTTCTGTTTAATAAATTACCGAAAATGTGTTTTAAATTAACAATTTGTCAACGTGACTATACCAGTAGAGTATGAAAAAAATGAAAATTTATGTCATACATAAATTGCCTGGAGATTTACCTTTTATGAGGAAGCGACGTTAATATAGTTGGTGTGATTGAAGCAGGTGACGGAGGTGTTGGTGATCTAGCAGGACTACTAGTACCTTCTCTTTCATCTTCATCTTCGACTTCTTCCACATCCACATCTACTTCTTCTTCTTCAACATCAACGTCAACATCTATATCTCGATTTTCAGTGTGAGGAGAATCCGGACTGGGAGAATGTGATGGAGAAGAACTTCTAGTCGCAGGTGATCCCACAAGGCGCCCAACTCCAAACGACAACCGTTCTTGAGAAATATACATTTTATAATGCATTTTTAAAAGGGAAATTTTAAATTTATATACTTTGCATAACAATATTTTTCTACAGTATATTATCACGAATTAAAATCAGTTCTTTTCTAAAATAATAAATATATGACAACAGTACTTGAAAGTACATATGCATAGTTAGAAAAAATATATATATGTAGGATCACTGAGGAGATGCCAACAAAGAAGAATTTCGAACAAACATAGTGTCTTCTAGCAAAAAGACTCTACAAGAATGGGATTTGAGTCACGTAGCAGCTTTTCTGGCAGGGGTTGTGTAGCACTAACGAGGCATCGCGAGCAGAAAACGGAATCGGGTGGGACTAAAAAGGCGACAGGATGAACGGGAGTGGAGCTTGTGTCTCCTGAGACGTTTCACTTGAGAAATAAATATAGTTACATTTGATAAAGCTTTGCTTACAGAGACTATAAATTTCTAAACATTAAACTCTCTAAAACAGATTTTTCCAATTACTATTTCTTTAAATATACATAATATAAGAAACCTGTTTAATGAAAACAAAATTCATCGTTTAAAATATGAAAACCCATGCGAGCACTTTTTAATAATTTCCATAGTTACTCAAAAATATTTCGTTAAATAGAAACTTTGGTAAGTGCCATTCAGCATATTAAAAAATGTCTTTAAATCGATAAATTATTGAGCTCCGTTTTAATTCACAAAGTTTTGGAATTATAATTGCAAGAGTAATACGCATCTGTCTTGACACCCCACAGTCAATGGTATACTCTTCCCCAACTATTATGATGAGCCGTGCGCTCAGTATATTATATTTATAATCCGTGTGAGCGACACGTGAGCACGTGCCGAAGTATATTGTACTTGAAACGACTAATCGCATTTAAAGCATAGATCCCTCTCTTTCGAACAGGGTGGTTGCCAATTGCCGTTGCGGCCGGGTTAGCAATCAAATAAAAATATGATACGACTTTGCTTTACACGAGCCCTTAACGTAATTATATATCCGTATGGATTTTTGTTCTCTTTATGTGCTTGAGAAAAAATGAAATAAATAATAAAAGTCAAGTGATGGAGAATAAAATAAGAAGCAAAGAAAAATTTAAGCATATGGATGAATATGAATAAGCATACACGCAAATGTTCCATCTTATGTTGCGGGAATGCAGTAAAAAGATTGCACAACTGAGACAAGAAAAACTTATCGCCGCAACCGTGATGCAGATGGTGATTTCTTGGTCCGGGTTTCTACAGCCAACACTCAGATTTTCAAGCTTCTACAAATTAGACTCTCACGATGCTGTTGCACAGATTAATCTTAATGAAAATTTATACATATGACAGACGCATTACATTTTTTTTTCTTCGAGATTATTCAGAAACAGAATATGTTTTAAGCACAATTGAAATTAAGAGTCGGAGAAAAAATATATTTGTCTCAGAGATAAATAAACTGTTATTTAAGTGACGAATATTTTATTTCGTTCAAATGCATTATATTTAATTCGAAAAGAAAAACAAGATTTACTTGAAATAGCAAAAATTTGAATTTTCTCAGTTAAGACTCATGAATAAAAATTAAAATACGACCGCTCAACAGAATTTAATAGAATGTGATTAGGTTAATTTTGTCGAAAACTAAATTAAATAGATTAATCTGAGATTTTCTGGAGATGTCTAAAATATGATGAGGATATTTTAGACACCTCTAAAAAAATATGAAAACATAATACCTTTTGGCATGATTTCGAAAAAACTCAAACATAGTAGGTGAATTGTAATTAATTGAAAAATGCATTTTTAAAAATGTCAAAATAAATTTGACGTTGAAGTGGAATCAAAATACATAATCGTTACCCATTTCCAGATGAAACTTTTTTCTGGGGATTAAAAAAATTCTTTGGGTGTAGATTTATAAATTGCTCTTTTAGAACTGTGGAAATTGGAAAAATAAAATTGTTTTACTTTAAATCTGAGTTGGTTAAAGTTTATCTAATTCAAATAGAGAGTATATTATAAAAGGGGGTAAATTTGTGAGTAACATTTAACCGATTTTGTTGACCTGCCCATATGTATATGTTTATTGTATTCTTAAATGTTTAATAAGTGCGAGCGCGACAATGATTCTTGGTCAATTGTGCTTATTATTACTGGACATTTAAGTTTTATTAAACAGTCATTACAGAGATTGAATCTGACTATCAAAATAATGTATATATAAGGGTTCTCGACAAGAGAGAACAATTTTGTGTCTAGCATAGATACATCAGATTTTCAATGATCGTTGTATTCAACTCGTGCTGCATAACGAATATACGAAGCCGATGGTCGTGAACCTAGTTATGGTGGTTGCCGTTGTGGATTAATAAAGGAAGGCCAAACCGAGGGGACAATTAGATCGAGTTAACGGCCAACTTTAATCTTCTGTCGTCCGTCAGTCGTTTATTACTGCGTGGTGATCTGGCTATTAAAGTCTTTACACACTTTAACTTTCGTGCCCCTTCCGTCTTGACTTTATTCTTAGAAAAGATATTAAAACTGTTGTAGCGTGTTCTTTTTACTCGGATTCTCTAGCTGCGTGAACTTGGTGTATTTTATGTAAGTGATTTTTTATTTGGTTTCTCCTGAAACGCCTATTAATATTTTCAACGATAAATCATTTGCTATTAAAAAATTGAGTTAGAACAATTATGACGGTAGTAGAAGAGAGATCCTTTCTATGCGCAATTTTAATTACGAAAAAGCAATCATTCAATTCTTGTTTACCCTTTTCAGGTGGTCGTATCATGACTGCAAGTCACGTGTGGTTCTATATAGTTTCATTTAACTCGCGCAGAAGAACGATTAATATGACGAGATGTAGCTAATTCAGTGTAGGTACACTTGACGACCGCCGACATTTATCAAGAATAAAGAGACCGACGCTACGCGATGAATCGAATCCCTATGTTGTGCCTCTCTATTTTACTTCAATTGGGGGGACGAGAGCCGATTAACAAGCGAATAAAAAAAGGACTTATGTCCCGGTATGACGCGTGCTACCATTTATCCCAATCATCGGACAACTGGTCTTTCTTAATGACTGATAAATAAAAAACCCGCCGCCATCCGGGCTAAATAATAGGGCAAAAGTCACGTCCCACACGCTCGGAAATAACCGCTTTTGGAAAATAGAAGATATAATAATTTCTTACCTGGATGACTTTTTTGGAAATGCTGCAAATTGTTAATTTCATTGGAGTTCGCAAATGGACCCCACAACCTTGGGAACATTAAACGGGCACTGCATGCTCCTGTAAAAGCAAATCATTTTATATTATCTCGTACAAAAGTATATCAAAGCTTAGCATTAAGATTAACGCCTACACATTTTAAAACCAGCCATTTTTTGAATTAAACACTTTCGTGAATATATTACCTTAGCTATAGGTTTGATGAATTTGGTATTCTTGGTTCGTAGGAAAGATCAACCCCTCGACAAGAGCGTCTTTATTAGAAAGGAGGGAACCCAACTTCTATTTATCAACCTTGCCCCAACCATTACTCGCTCTCTTTTTTCCAACTTGCATTCCTTATATTTTATTCGCTACAAGTGTCCTAGTTTATTTCATTTATAATACATTTTCAAATTTAATACAAATAATGTTGCGCGTGTTTTATTTTTTAGAAATCATTTTTTGCTTTTTTTCTACAAGAAGGAATATTAGGTAGTCTCTAAATTTTAATCAGTAAGATTTCACTGACGAAATAGTTGAATTGAAACATTTCAGAAAGATTTTCACTGAAATTCAGTCACATTTCACTGAAAATCAGAAGAATTATTATTGATTTAAGGTCAAATCTGCGTTATCATTAATAGGTTAAACAGATTTTACAGTAGAGAATTCTAATTTTCAGTGAAAATTTTACTAAAGTGATTCACTGGTTAAATTCCAACTATTTTATCGATGAAATCTCGCTAATTTAAATTTAGAGAGTATAATTACAAAAAATATTTCTTTTCTTCTTTGATAATTTAAAAATGAAAAAATAAACTCAAGATATAATGTGTAAAATTTATACGATATACTTGTTACCTATACTTTAGTAAATAATAAGAAAGCTAATTGTCAATTATTTCTTTGTCTCTAACTATATGCACTATCTATACTTCCGTAATCCTGAAAAAGCATATACATATACAACTGACAGAAGATCCATCAATTGAAGACATATTTTTCAAACGACTTTAAATGTCAATCAAGCAAAGCTTAACCAAGTCTTTCTGAGAAAATAATTGATTCTGGAAAATGTTAAACTTGGATTGTAATTGGAACTTAAAATTATAGGAAGCAAAGAAATATATTTCTCTCTGTGTATGTATGCAAAGAATATTTTCAGTCAATTCATTGATTTCAATTTTTGTTCTTTCAATAAAAATTCAATATAAAGAGAAAAAACTTTTTTTATTTTGTATGAAAAGTATTTGACAGGTACATCATTTTTATAATTAGATTCTATCAAAACTGTTGGTCATTGCAAAAAAAATTTCATTTTTAGAAAATTGATTATTTTTACATTTTATATATTTTTAACCTTTGACAGTGTTGTATCTAATTTCTCTCCACGCTTAGAAAAAAGAATTCTTAATTTAAATATAGAGATCTGTTTGAACGATTTTGTTTAATTTAACACAGTTTGTAAGTTTTATTCCAATATCACAGAAAATTAAAAGGCATTAAAATAAGCTGCAACGCTTCTTATTTTAATCCAATTTTGCTTATTTTAATCCATTTTGGTATTAAAATAAGCAAAATTGGATTAAAATAAGAAGCGTTGCAGCTTATTTTAATGCCTTTTAATTTTCTGTGATATGAAAAATATCTGTCACTAGTAGTGTTGCAATTTCGTTAAAAATATTATTCGTTTGATTTAAACTTAAGGATTAGTTTATAACATAGGCACATGTAAATTTCCACTGGAAATCCAGTAGAACGTCCGAAATATGCCATATCTTTATATTTTTTACACCTTCTTCACCCTGCTTTTCCTTATTCTAGTTCCCCGCTGTGTATCGAAAAAAGCTACCATTCCTTGCAAAGTGTCACAATTCACATGTTCCACTGATTATTTTATTTTTATTGTCAATAAGATTTTGACATGATTCTTAACCTAAAAAATTAATACAAAAAGTAAAAATTTTAACTTTTGAATTGTTCTACTATTGTAATTGAGTATTTTATTTTATTGTAATACAATATTAACTGGCTACTACAATCATCTAATATCGCGTAATATATATTTTCTTTGCAGTTTTAGTTAAAGACTTTTTTTTATTTCTTTTAATGAAAAAAAATATTTTTATGACAAATAGAATAATCGAAATTGAAAATATAAGAATTAGTTCTTCAATAATAATACAATTATTCTTCTTTTTGTCGACATATAATCTTTAATGAGGTTCGGTGACCGGCAAAAGTGCGAAGAAAGGTACAAACCGAAAAATTCATAATCCCTCCAATAGTGTTGACGGATAATCTGCGATAACAAGAAGATTAGACGCACCAAGCCGCAAAGCTATCTTACTCACAGGATTATCAGAAATAAATCATATTTTCCTATACCAGGCATACCGCTTCAGAAAAGATAACATCAGTGACGACGACTATAGATTCGATGCGTGTGTTTGTCAACGAACATCCGCGATATCATGTGCAATGATTATCCTGCTCGAACCCCTCCTTATCAGACTAATATTGTAAATCTATAAAAATTGTTAAATCTGATTTTCCGATGAAAGCAACGACGAGTGTGATGACTCCTTTTTCACATTCATGAAATTAAAAAAAACATATTAATTTTGCAAAAGTTTGTACTACGTCTTGCACATATTCTTATCTTGTATTGTATATCAGCAGACTTCTGATAATCTCGTATATCTACATGTTTATAAAACATTTATGCTTCACAGATTTGTTTTGACGCGTGACAGGAAGAAAATTAATTTTGGCAATTGACACAATTGATACAGAGGAAGTTAATTCCGTTTATAATTAACTAATTATAAGCATTCCACACATGTTATTTTAATATATTTAATCCGATGGATACATATTGTATGCAACAGTTACTGATAGATTTGATTTTATAAAATTTCGCATTTCTATTACATAGTTTAAACATTTTAAAAACTTTTAAATTAGAGAATAATTTTTTACTTTAATTGGATTTTTATATTAGAAAAAGTTTTGACCCCTAGAGGGAAAAATTTAAATACAGAATTATTAATTCAATAATTATTTTAACAAATAATTGTTGTGAATTAAAAAATGTACTTAAAATTTACTTAGGATGTTGTAATTTTGTTTCAAAATTTTCAGTTCGATAAGCTAATATAAAATATTGTGAAAGGAAAAAAAAATTCTAAATTTAATGATTAATTATTTATACAAAAAATAAATAATTTCTAAACTTTTTAAATTATTTTCTACTTGTAAAAATTCCTGGGAAACTTCCATTGGAAAATCTGTCATAATTCTGACAGTTCTAAATTTAAAAAAAAATTTAGAAACATCAAACTTGAAATAAAAAAAAACTTTTAATCTTTTATTATTATTTCTTTTAAATTTGATTGAAGTTATCAATTTTTTATTGCAAATTTCATATGAGTATTTTGACCTATCAAATTTGTTCAAGTTCTGTTTTCCAAAGTTTTTTTTTTGGTAAAATTATAACCGGTAACAATTTAAAAGAACGCCTAAAATTCTGAAAAGAATTTACGAAGAAAGTGAATTGCTGAAAACATGAAAAAGTTAAAAATATTTTTTTCAGTATTTGCAAAAAAAATTATCAGAAGTTAATTCTGATTGATTTTCCAACCAGAATTTCCATTCGGAATTTTCCGGGAATCACACATGTTTCCTTAAATAAATGCAAATTAAAAGATTACAACTTTGTTTCCTAGCAGCGCAGTGTAATACTATAACAATTTTTTAATTCCAACAAATATTTTGTTTTAACGCTTAACCAAACACAACTGGGTTGATAAGACTTAATAATTTCATATAACTTTTTTTCGATTTAGGAAATAATAATAATAAATATATAATATAATATGTATAATAATAAAGCCAAAAAATCGCATTTACTTAATTATTTTATTTACATTATTGCAAAATTTTTAACAACTCAACTCTACAGTGGTTTTTGTATTGTCATATTAAAAAATAGTGATATTATATTTGACCATTTTTTTTTAATTCAATAATTTAAAAAAAAAGAAAACCAGTGAATATTTTTAGTGTTCTTGGGGTTATTTTAAAGGCGAAATTTCAAGTTTTAATTTGGCTTAATTTCATATTTGTTAAACATACTTGTCTAAAGATTGCAATCCATTGAAGTCGGACAATGAAAATTTACTAAAATTTGAAATTTTACTTGTATTTATCACATCACATCTCCGTTTTTATACGTCAAAATTAATATTATTTCCAAAAATCACTTTAAATACTTTTTACCTTGATTCTGAACGGAATTATCATCTTCTAACGCTGTAAAAATAAAGTCTTATTTTAAGGCCGAAAAGAGGTATTATTTTGAGAGGCAACATTTCTAAGTCAGCTTTGCTAAATTTACGCAATGCAATTTCCATTACAACTACTAGCGCTGATTTTGAGATTCATCTTAAAACAAGATTTTCTTTTTACTGTGAAAGACGATTCGTGACATTACCTGGTTAGAATCACGCTATAGCACCAGAAGAATTTTCTAAAGGAATATTATATCTGTTGATGAAAGTAGATGGCAATTATCTTGCATAAAGTGTCAAACCGCACATCTGACAAGACGAGTTAGGTTGATATTATTGCATCATCCTATTAGCCCGATTAATATAGGAGGGTATTAGTATAGGCATCAGCCGTCTGATTCCATTCATCCCCTCACCTGTTGAGCAAAGCTCAAGCTCACGCACCTGCGTGGCAAGGCGACGGCGCGTGTACAGGTTTGCAGAATTATCTACACTGTTATATCCAAATACGAGATGCGACATAGGGAGAATGCACATTTATGCAAGTTGCACACACGCACGACATAGAGGTCACATATACATGTCGTGTCGCCAACCGTGTAAACGGTATGCACTGCAAGGATAATAGGCAGGTAATAGACAGCATGATGACAGACAGCAGAGTATAGGTATGATGGAACGAGCAAACTCACATCCGAAAATCATGCAACCTTTCAATCAATTTTAATAGTACAGTACTCGCTATGCATTGATGCCGTCGACAAATGTCAAAATTCTATCACATCATTTATTATACTCTAATTTTTATTCCATGAGAAAATTTCCTAAAACTCTAATTTGAAGCCGCAAATATTGTTGAGACAAGGCTGCCATGATCAATCTACTTAATTTCGAATTCTAAATTAAAAAGTTGTTCCATTTACGCGGAGTCTCATCAATTTAACAATTTTTATACGGGTAGTTTTAATGAAAAAAGTACCCTCCTGGGAAAATTAATAAACCTTTACAATAAATCCTTTAAAGTAGATTGCTTTCTATTGGGATACAAATTTAATTAATTAATAAGCATTTTTTATGATTAATTTCTTATTTTTTTCAAGTAAAATCGATAATTTTTTTTCTATTTTAATTGTTATAACATATACAATTGAAGCTGATATCGATTTTCAAAATCTATTTTAACGCGCATAAGTCTCTGATAAATGAGAAAATATATTATGCAAAAGTGTTGTTTTTAATGCTATGATAATTAAATTTCTCATATATAACCAATACTTTCTGTCAAAAGAAAGTTGAAAAAATTGTATTAGATTCAAATAATCGTTTAATTGACTATTATCAAATATATGAATATTTATTTCTATCAAATAATTATTATTATTGTCAATTAAATGGTATTTGTTTCAAATAAATTTGTTCAATAGATTCAAACAATATAATTATTGTATATTGTTTAATATACGCGTAATAGCGCATACATTTTATATTGTTTAACTTCATTCTTCACATGAAAAATTTACGTCTCAAAAGTGTAAACTTCTGGTCTAATATCTGATCATGTTTCATTTACAAGAAAAAGTTCCGATATCACTTCTACTTTTTTTTGAACTGGTATACAAGTGTGGATATTAGTAAAATTGTATCAAAATTTGTACAGTAACTTTATTGTCAAAAAATATTAAAAGAAGAATATATTCAAAAGATTATTTTAATTTGTATATAAAACAAATGGTTTTAATACTTCTTTTCAACTATTTTTTAAGAAGTAAAGAAAAAAAAATTAAAAATTAACTTTCAAGTATCAAAATCAGTTTTTCAGGTGTCATAGTACTGCGTCAGTAGTCAATTTTTTATAGGGTATTTATGTAGAACCTCGAATATCCGAACTCTCTTTATCCAAACTAGGTTCAGCCGCACATATGCTTCGGATATTCGAGGATCTGTCGTATATATAATAGAGGGTAACTGTGCGTATTACTGCGGATTTTTAGTAAATCATTAAATTTTTGTCACTCGTTATATTAAATTTAAAATCATTTAAAAAATGCATTACTGTGTGACATTTACTGAGGTGGTACCAGTGACTGTGCGAGTGTTATTGCACGAATTGGAACAAGAGATTGCGGTTAAAGAAACGCCAATCTTTGAGGTTATGTTTCGCGAAGAGTTGCGCAATAAAAGTATTTAATATTCCCAATAATATTTAAGTAAAGATACTGCTTCTAATACTATTTTAGAAATATCAAAATTGAAAATTAATAAAATATGGGTATAAATTAATATATTTTTAAAATAATATAAAGCTTATATACTTTATTTCATAACTATCATATATTTGATATAATTTCATAGAATTCAGTGCTTAATTTATTTTAAACTTAAAATAATTAAGTAACAGATGTCTTAAATATATACGCACTATGTTTATTAACAATTGTAAAGAAAAAAGTCTAAAATAAAATAATAACCATTTTTTCAATTTACTTTGGTTTAATATATTCTACCATTAACACAAAAATTAGTTATAAAGTGGTTCATACAAATTTTTTAGTTTCAGGTCAAATATGGCAAATAATGCGATCAACTTACGGATCTCTATTTTAATTTGCAATATGTTTATACATCCTGCGTATATATATAATTACAATTATAAAATGAAATAAAAATCCAACATCAGGAGGAAATAATTAAATATTTTTCTCACCTTCAATGTCCGAAAGTAGTTGAGGACTTTCCTGCAAATTTTCATTATTATTAGTCTCTGCGAGCAATGATTGCTGATGAATGAGAGAAGTTGGTTGTTTGGGCTTAACGACACGAAATGCTGAAGCCTCAGCGACTCCTCGTCGAGAAAAATCAAGTGGACCCACCCCAACCGGTGAGTGTTGTTGCTGTATCTCCATCATATTTTAAACTCTATTATTATGCACCTTCTAATCCTTCACTAAGCACCGCATGTAAACAGCGCAATTTTGTTTTTAAACAAAATCAAATTATCATATACACACACTGTTTTTGAAGTTTTTAACAATAAAATACTCTAGTACAACTGTCGAAAGAATTCCATATCCTTTCTTAAAATGTCAAGCAGACATGTAGTTTACTTTTAATTTATACACTGAAGCTCACTTTTGTAACACTTTCATGGTTTTTTTGGAGAAATTGTACTTTCACTTTTAGTTCAATGAAAATTTATAAATTCATAAATTACCCACTTTCCAACGATCTGCCATTATTTATCACTGATTTTTCCTAAAGTTTAAGTCATTGATTGATTATCAATTGTTTGAAATGAGCATGAGCTATCGATTTCTTCTGAAGATTGTCTTTCCGAAATCTGTGACGGCTTAGCTGATTTTTTTGTGTAACTTGCCGCTGATTTTGACAAGTCAGGATCAGGAAATAGAGTTGACCAACAAGGGAGAAGACGTTATAGTGGGTGCCTCGACGGCGACTGCTGTTAACAGATCTGATAGTAGAGGGATTCAAGCGATGACGGACGAAAGTTGGAGAGAGAGAGAGAGGAAACCGGGATTTTCAATGCAAGCTCCGCCTTCAAACTCCGCCCTGCATCCCTGCTCAACACCCTCGCATACAGACACCATTCTTCTGATACACCCCCGCTCTCGCGAGTCCCGTGTGCGTGCACGTGCACATTCTATTCTGTGTTTATCTGGTGAGCATTTTGTTGCGAGCAGGACAAGTGTTCGTGCATTCGAGCAGTCGTGTACAATGTACATTTAACCAAATGCACTATCCTTTCCAGTTTCAGCATTTAATGCGAAACCACTCGGCTCTCCTGATTCCATTCTCGATCCCCCTGACTGCACATCAGTCATAAAATCGTAACTAACTTATTTTATGTCTTTTACTTTTTATTCGCTACAGGGTAAGAACTGTAAATGAACAAGTTATTAATGGAATTGTCAAATTCAAATAAAATTAAAATTTTTGTTCTATCGAAAACAGTACGCAAATATTATAGGTACTGTGGGTTGTATATAGCTATGAATAAAATAATATAAGCGCGCGCGTCATATGCAAATGACAGACGATACTTTGTTATATATACATATAGTCCCTGGAGGGCTGAGGACTACTGCCTCTGAAGAAAATTACTTTCTTGCGAGAAAAGAAGAAAAACTATAAGATTGATATTTTTTTGGCTTTAAAATTGAACCTTTTGTTAAACTGTAGTTTTACAAATGGTGTTATTTTTAATATAAAAGTTTAAAATTTAACCATATAAGGAAATAATACAACCTTTAAATTTTAATGGTACAACTATTAATAATAAATTAATTATTAGTCAATCACAGCAACTATAAAATTTTGGTTATCTTAATCAGATTTTAGTTGATACAACCAAAAAGAAAAAATAAATTATTTTTATTGTCTTAAGAAAAGTTTAGTTGTGCAAAATATAAAGTTTGCGATTGGGACATCCAAAATTTTTAATAGAGGGTATGATATGCTCCTTACGGGGAGAGACCAACGATTTTCCATATGAAAGTTATATGACGTTATTACGATAAACAAAACCAAAGGTATTAGACATACCATGTTTATTTTTATTGTTTACTTCCTTAAAAGTAAGCAAAATTACAATTTTTAATAATTTTTTATGTGTGTGAAAAGAAATGTTCGAATTTTCTGAAAACAATCACAAATATAAATCCAAATAACGTATGTTTCCTCCCAGACAGCACATTATTAAACTGCCGTACGAAAAAAAAACTTAGGTAAGTGACATTGTCGCTTTAAGCTGCGATTTTAGTGCGTTTTTACTACTGAAACAGCGACCAAAACGACAATGTCACTTACCTAAGTTTTTCTTTCATATACGGCAGTATAAATATTTCCTAAATATTTCAAAGAAAATTTTTACTTATGAAATCAATTAGTATTTTTCAATATGTCAACATTCATAGGATACTAAAAAACTACCCAAATAGCATGTAATATTACAGTAATATTAAAATGTCCACCTCATGGTATAATATTACCGGTTAATATTATTGCAATATTACACGCTCATTTGAAATACATAAAAATTTCAATTAAAGTTTTTTACAAAACATAAATCAAGCATATTTAAGAATCGAATATATTTTAATAAAACTTTAAATCTTAAATTTATTTCATGTATTTACAATGTTCCAATTCTTTTTGAAAATTTAAAATTTATATTTTATAATTTTGGTATAATTTATGTGAATGAAAACTATAGAAGAGAAATAAAATGCCAAAAGATTATAAAACAAAAGAAAAGAATCGTATAAATTAAAACAACTATTTTATTCAACGTAATTGTTTACATTTTTTTTAAATTTTTATTTGGACTTTTTGACCAGGAAAAAAAGTCCCTTTTTTGTTTTGGACATTTTGATTTGGAATTTTTGTCCGGATCCCTTAAATTAAACTGCCGAAAACTTTTATTTTTATTTTTAATTTGTGGATGGATGATAAACATTTACCCGAATACCGGCTGTCTGAAAATAACCTGCCCAAATCTATTTGCCTAAAGGGATAATGCTCGAAGAGTATTTTGGCTAGAAAAATATAGTATTAAAAAATTGAACTTTTTTCCGTTTGACAGAAGAGTATTGGGCATTATAGTTGACGTCTGGTGTTAAATTTCAGTTTCTGACAATTTTTATAAATTTTTCTGGTAAAATTTAAGAAATTTTTTTATAAATTCTTGTGGACTTTACTATGGAAAGACTTAATAAAAATTTGGATGTTGGAGTTAAAGAGGGTCTAGTATGATTAAAAAAAGACAAAAAACTATACTAAAGTGAGTCTGTTTAGCTCTACTTTACTCCTATAGGAAAGTATCCTTAAATTTCGCCTCCGTGTAAACCGCACTTTTAGTGATTATTTTTTTGTTTTTTAGTGTTTATATAGCTAAAAGGATCAGATAAGCACTTAAAACTTTAATTTTTGTTCATTTTATAAAATTAGCAGGAACAGTCCAGAAATATTCGAATAGCTTCTTCAAAAAATCTCCACACATATATATAGCACCTAAAATTACAGCAATATTGACAATACTTCCAAAATATTCTATAACTTCTATAACATTGCTGTAATATTAGAATATTGAGGAAATGTTGCCAATATACTGTTGGAACTTTAGGTATTGTGTGGAAGTTAACGAAAAGTTTAAAGTCGTTATATGTATATAAAAAAAAATTAATCAAATTATAAATTTATTTATATATATCTAAACATACAATTAATCCGTATTTTGTTTAAAATCAGGTACTCACACATATAGGTATATATTATAAGATAAAATACGACTTCAGGCTAGTATAAATATATATTAACAGTGGCGCCACAACGCTTGTTCATAGTTGATGCCGACAAAACATGAGTCACTCTCAATCAAGGAGCGACTTAATAGCGATTGTCTTTACCAATTGGGATGTGGGTGATGATTATTTGTGGAGTAGAACTTTGTAACGATCACCGTACATGGAGGTAATTTATATGTTTTCTGGTTTTATCGAAGCAAACTTACAGCAGATGGACCCCTGCGGGTCATCAGATCATTGTTTTTATTAATTTAAAACGAACTTCCAAAATATATGTGGTGTAGTAATTTTACCACGCAATTTCGAAAATTTCAAATTAAAGCAATTGATAAAAAAACAATTTTTATTTCTCGTTCTATAATCTTATTAATTATAAGTTTATTTTCATTCTGTTCAAGTATATAATTTATGGTTTTTATCTGTAATCTGTAAAAGTTTATGTTTATTGAAAAATGGAAATTAAAATTAGATATAACATTCTCTTTACAATATCCTCGTGATTTTAAATTCATGTTAGTATGAACAAGCCTTTTTAAAAAAAGATTTAAGAAAAAGTTTTATTTTACTGCGTACAAAGTTTGTAAGATAACTATAGAAGTGTCGCAGGCGAATTATTATGACCCGAGAACAACTGCTGCAATTTCGTAAGACAAAATTCTACTAGTTATGTGCCTGCTGAAATGATTCTTAAAACTCTTTAATAAAAATTGTAAATTAAAAATTGATATTCAAATAATGTTTGCAGAAAAAATAAATGCTAAATAAATATATAGTAAAATAAATTCCCAAGTAGAAATATCCGTAGCTCGCCGTAATTAAACACCGGCATGGTACTGATCCAATACTGGCTGTCGGTATTGACTTTCAGTACTGGCAGTGTACTGACTAATACACCGAATCAGTACTATGTCGGAGGTAAAAAAATATTAAAACCAGTACTGGGAGTACACTGTCATTCACACCGAATCAGTACTATGTCGGTGATAAAAAACATTAAATGAAAAAGTCTTTAAATTATTCCAATAGGTAGAAAACGATGATTTTTTATTTAAAAAAATGTATATTAATTTCTTTCGAATACTTTCCCTCAAAATTTTGGATGTAATTGTAATGTATTATTATATACCTATATAAAATATTTATAATAAAATATTTATGTTTTTTTAGTTATTTTAGTACTCATATGTGCATTAAGTTATTTATCATGCATACAATAACAATAAGTTGAGAATTTTTTTCTAATAGTTTTAAAAATAAAGCAAATGTAATTTTTTCACTGTAATTTTTAAATATTATTAATAATTAAATATTAAATTTAAAAAATTTTTCACCATTCATATTTTACAGTCGTCTTTTATTAACTTATTTTTAATTATGTAATTCATCAATCATTTTTGTCTGTTTTAATATTATTTACGGTAAAAATAATTTATTAAAAATATTTAACTGAAATTGATATCCAGTTTTATTTCATTAAATCTTTGTAAAAATTGAAAAAATTTTATGAGTTTAAAAAATTTAAGAATAAATTCATTTTATTTTCGTGATCAATAGATAATACAAACTTTGAAATCAAAACTTTTGTATTAGGTGAACTACTTCAAGTCAGCACTTCAAGCCAGCGCGGCTGTGCGGTATGCGTATCTGACTTGCGTTCTAAGGGTTTAGGGTTCGATCCCCCATGCGTGCGAGATTTTTCGTTCTTAGTTTTAAGTGTTATAAGTACAATATTTGTTCATGTGTAATATCAATTATTAAATAATTATTAAATTAAGTATAAGTGCAAATTAAAAAAAATTAAATATTATGAATTTAAAAAAATAAAAAAATTTACAACACAAATTATTTTTTGTAAAATAATTTATTAAAAATAAAATAATTTAATTAATATAAATGATAATTATTATTTTAATTATTAATTGTTAATAATATTTTATATATTCTAAATAACATTAACTAATATTGGCTTCACATTACCTGTTCGTGGTAAAAATGGGAGTAATAAGCTAATAAGGATGAAATTTGCATTGGAAAGCGTGTTTTAGCATTTTGTAAAAAAGTGAGATTTTAAGTCCGGATGAGTACTTTGCCAGTATTATGCCAGTATTATGCCAGTATTATTCTAGTACTACGTTAGTACTGGTGAGCGGGACAAAATCAGTACTGGACAGCGTTACCAGCCAGGGTTGGTCCACTACTGGCCCAGTACGGCA